ATGTGATAGTGATTACTGCTTGTTATTATTGTCACCTGTAAATCCTCGAATTTGTGTAGCATAAACTAGAGTTTCTATAGTTGGTTTGTAAGGGTTAGTTTTGTTTTTACGAGTTGATCACGGATTGATATCAGTTAGAGGAACCATTGAAAACCAGTAGTGGAGTACTGGACAGCCATGTGTTTCATCCTAGTTTGGGAATCATTGGCAGTTAGCAATCACCACAGTGGGGTTCGAACCCACGACCTTCCGGTTACAAGCCAAGCTCGTATACTATTGGGGGTCGCGCTAAATGCATCACGAATTGGTAGAAGTTAGAATTCATGGATTGGCCACTGAATCGCTTCTCAGTGTCTGAATGGTATACGAGCTAGCTTGCTTTGTCACCGGAAGGTCCTGGGTTCGAGCCCCAAACTAAGGATGAAACATCAGGCTGTCCAGTACTCCTCCTAGTTGGTTTTCAATGGTTCCTCTAACACTGATATCAATCCGTGATCAACTCGTAAAAATAAACTAGAGCCTTTATTAGTCTTCACAAAGTAACTGCAAGAATTATTGATCCTGAAATGTTTCACATACATTTATTCATTTATTTTTAAACTTTCAAAAAAGGGAGAGCCGGGGGGGGGCGGAGGGACCATGAAACACTGAGGTGTGTAGAGTGTTGAGAGAGAGTACAACACCACATTGCTGTTGTTGTGTTCTTATTGTTAATAACTGTGTTACTCACAGCTGACCTTTATTTTATATGTGATTATTTCCTCATATAACACCTGAAGGAATGAATCATTATTCTTGTTATGCGTGAGTGTGTGTGCGTGCGTGTATGTACTTATAATGACCGTGTATGTGTACTCTTGTCGTCTACACTGTTGACCTTTATATATAAAGACAAGCGGAAAAAGAAAGCGGAATTGTGCTGTTGTTGAGTAGTAGGCGGTTATGATGAATTAGCCGTTATTTATCAAGTTGAATCATGTTCATTTAATCATAAGTGATATTTTGTTCTAAAGCGCTGTGATCTGAACAATAATAAATTTCATTGAAGAAGTTTTCATCAATCTAGACACAGCTGTGATACGATGCATCAGCCCAATAGTAGTAGTAGTAGTAGTAGTATTAGTAGATCACAGTGTCTTAATTTTCTCACGGACACGAACACACCACAGTACCGTTGATGAGTATAGTGTAAAACAGGATAGATTGGGGTGGGGTGTTTTATACTACTAATAAATAAATATATAAGCACACATGTTATCTTTCTCATGAATACAGGAATCAAAATAAGGCCGCGGAGGGAGGGGGTAATTTGTTAATAAACCTACTTATGCGATAACAACTATTGACTACAAATCATTATCTTTTATTGTTATAACCTATCCACCACCCGCGCGCACACACACACACACACACAGTAGGGTGTCTTAATTAATTATGTGCACATGTTAATTATTATTATTATTACAACAACTGATAAAATGATCAAGCTGTTGTGCATTTTCCTTGTACAACAGATGATTTTTTCAGAACATATATTATCTCATATTTGTTTTTTAATGTAATTTTTGATGGATGTTGAGTGACATTATTAGTGAGCGTTTTGTCCTATTCTGGGACTCATCATCTGACGGATGTATCTGCCTTCCCCAGTGAGTGAGTGGGTGAGTGAGTGATTGTGTTCCCCAGTCCTCTGGGACTCGAACTCGAGACACATCGTTTCAAACACTCAGGCGTCGGCATCCACTAGATCATTTAGGCCATGAGAGAACATATGTGAACATAAATATCATAGAAATTTTCATCGTATTTAGTTCCAAAGTATTTTTTTTCTTTTCATACAGAAATTTACGTGTAAGGTAATATTCAGGTATTGGTTTTGTAGGGATTTTGTTTTAAATTGGTTGGAGGATTTCATCATGAGCTGACATCGGTTAAGGTTCTACCTCTATTGGCATAACAGGTGTATTAAACTGCTAGATTTCATCCAACTAGGAAAACAGAAAACCCACTCTCCAATGCTGTCAGTTGTTTAATGATTCTTTTTTTTTTAACCATTAAGTCTGATCAAATCCCTTGTCCCGCATTCGAAACCCGGTGGGTGCATACTGTTGAAGAGTCCAAAACCAAGCTGACGAAACAGTCGGCTGTCCAGTACTCCCTGTTGGTTTTCCAATGATTCTCTAGCCGATGTGTCAGCTCATGATGAAATCCGTCAAGCAAGCAATCAAAATCCGTACAAAAAACCAATACTTGAAAATTAATTTTGATGCCCACTAGCGACTGGCCGTATATTCAGGCAGTTAGTTACCTGAGGTTCTAGTGGGAGGCCGTGATCAGTAGCATACAGCAGATTCAAGGTGAGGCACTAACTCATCGTAGAAGACATTGTGAAGTGGTCGTACTATGTCATAAAAATGTGCAGAAGTTAGAATTCATGGACAGGCCGTTGGATCAGTCAGGTCCCAGTGGCTGCTTAATGGTCTACGAGCTCGCTAGCCTTGTAACCAGAAGGTCCTAGGTTCGAACCGTGGTGATGCGTGAGTATTGCTAAAGAGTCCCAAACTAGGCCGACGAAACAGTCGGCTGTCCAGTACTCCCTGGCAGGTTTTCCAATGGTTCTCTAACCAATGTGTCAGCTTATGATAAAATCCTCCAACCAATGTAAAGCAATCACCTGAAGTACATCATTTGTCGCAGTGTTGTTGCATATGAAGAGAAAACCAATTCTGGTCATTATTTTTCTTCACTTCCTCGTAAATTGCACAGCGTTTAGTGGGAAAATGAATTTAATATGCGCGCGATTTCATGTATTGCTTATTTGATATAATTGAACGATTAAAACAATTGGAAGTGCAGAAGACTTTAAGCATTTTGATGGATGGAAATTCTGGTAGCTCAGTGATTTTAGCAGACCACTGCCGTCTCCGATAAGTGACGAGTGTCAGCTACTCTTTTTCTTTTCCAGTTGACTGATTGGACTGAAATGTTTGATCCATCATGGAATCTCCTACTAGTCACCACCTACCTAATTACTTCAAGTTAATGCACAGACATCGTCGAAGCATCCTCACAAAGAGTTGATTTGTCACCCAAAAGCCGAGAGCATTTCGGTTCAATTTTTTATTCAAAGTGGAAAATTTTCTTTCCTTTTTCAGCAATGTGATATCGCTAGCCCAATTTTAACAGACCGACCATTGATATCAGGTGTTCATTCTCCGGGGATCGAACCTCGGACCATATGTATGGTCGACGACAATCCTAACCACCGTGCCACCCACCCACCCACACACACACACACATAAAATACTCTGCCAGAAGACAGAGCTCAAAAAAAATAAGATAAAACTCATTGTATTGTGCGCCTCCGCACGGAAATCTTTTTGGTAAAAGGCGAAAGATTTATCCGCGGCTGAGGAAACACCAGAGTTATGTGATTAAAAATTAATAATATTTGAAGATTCTAGGTCCGATTCTTATTGGTGGTGGTGGCGGGATCATGGGTATATATACTTCTGAAAAGTCTCAAACTGGTAGGACGAAAACAACTGTCCAACACTCTCTGCCTGCAAACCAGCATTCTTAAGATTTACTCATTCACATTTTTACGAGTTGATCACGGATTGATATCAATTAGAGAACCATTGAAAACCAACCAGGGAGTACTGGACAGCTGCTGTTTCATCCAGCTAGTTTGGGAATCATCGGCAGTACGCACCCACTGGGATTCGAACCCGGGACCTTCCGGTTCCAAGGCAAGCTCGTATACCATTCAGCCACTGGGACCCGATTCAATGGCCAGCCCATGAATTCTAACTTCTACCAATTCGTGATTTTAGCGCGACCCCAACTATTGTCGTTGGTGGAAATCCATCCACACGTGACTTCTAATTGGACCTCACTGGTCACGACTTCTCACTAGAACTGCAGGAAGCTCCAACCTGTAGCAAGTCACTAGCGAGCATCAGAATAATTTTCTATAGTTTGGTTTGTAAGGATTAGTTATGTTTTACGATCAACTCGTAAAACATAACTAATCCTTACAAACCAAACTATAGAAAATCATTCACATTTCTTTCGATAAAATGAATGCAAATGTACTATATTACCACTTTTTGACTGTTTTTCTGTAATCGTTGTTGTTGTTGTGGTAGTGGTGGTGGTTGTTATCGTTTTTCTGTTTTTGTCTTCACCATTGTTATGATCGAATACACTTTTGGTAATGAAATCAACAGAAAATCTGCATTAATTGCAGAGAAGAAATAGTTTTGTTGTGTTCCTATCTCTATCTCATTTTGCTCATTTCGATTGCAGACAGTGTCTCTCCGCCCCCCTCTCTCTCTCCGAATCTCTCTTTCGCACACATAAACACACAGGCACACACAGAGGCAAACCCACGCAGTAACGAATAAACAACACAATGTGTACACTTCTAGATTTGTTTCCACACTTACTCTTTAATTGATTATTTCTACTCTGATGATAATGATGATAATGATAATGATTGTGTGTGCTAACACGTCGAATCGAATAAAACGATCATATCATCATAGTTTCATATCTGTTAATCAGAGTGTTGGTTTGCGTACGTACGTGCGTGCCTCCTCCTTTTATGTGTTAGAAAATAGCGTTTTCTTACGATGCATAGAAGACAGAAGTAGAAGAAAGAAAGAAGAAAGAAGAAGTACTCACTTTTGTTTGCTATAGAAATTATGTTCAACCAACCAACCAAGCAATTACTGATTGGATAACTACACACTTCAGCACAGATTGATAGACTAACTGATAGTAGGATTGACTGACTGCCTGCCTGTCTGCCTGATTGACTGCCTGACTGACTGATTAATATGTATAGATAGATAGATAGATAGATAGACAGACAGACTATCTGACCATTATTCTATTGCTTACATTCATACAGAATAGAATATATATATATATATATATATTTAACGGATAATTAATTTCTATTCTTTCTACTACTTTTTCTTGTATAAAAACAGGTACATCGAATGGTGTTGTTAATATGAATTTAGAGATATCAAATCATGCAGATAGTGCAATACACACTTCAAATAGTAGTATTACTAGTAGCAATATAAGTAGTAGTAGATGTAGTAGTCCTACAACAACAACAACAACAACTACTAGTGCTAGTAGTAGTAATAGTAATGGAAGTATTGAAAACACGAATACTCCTTCGACGACGCTAACTATCAGGACTACGACTGCGCCGCATACGTCTGCTACAACTCCTCCTCCTGGGCATAACACGAATAGTAATGCCGAGGATGCTGATGTTACCATGTGTATATGTCCAGTGTGTGGTTTCTCTGCATCATCACCACGACGGCAAGATGAACATATGGAATTAGTTCATGGAGAAGTATGTACTACTATGGCGGCGACGGCTTCGGTGGCGGCGGAGACAACAACAAGTGTACAACATTCTCAAAATTCATCAATCCTTCAACAAGTCACAGAAAATAATCCTAATAATAATCATCATTCGACTTATGATTCTTACGATTATTATTATTATCAACAAGGAAAACAACAACAACATCAGCAGAAGCGGCAACAGGCTGATGAACAACCAGAACTTCAACACAGCAACTATACTTCATCGTCTTCATGTAATCCATTCACTCTACAAGCAGCTTCTACTCCCCAACGTGTTAAATTATGGTCTAACCATGAATTATCGAATCCTTTATTCCCATTGAATGAACAGCTGAATATAATATCTAGAGAAGGAGCAGAAGATGGTGTGGATCATTCGGATAGTGTATCTAATAAAAATTATATCATCAATTCTAGTCTAACATTATCTGATACTACTCAAATATCTAATTTAAATAGTAGTAATAGTAATAATGACAACACAAATCTTCCTATCATTGATCCCACCAATGATGAATACCATTCTTCTGCTTCTTCTTCTTCCACATCGTTAGACTTTCTCAAATCTTCCGCAAAAACTTTAAATAATCTGCATAAATTTAAACAATCCGAAAAAACATTGAAATTATATTCACCAGCAATGAAAAGTGTTCAATCAACATCATCATCTACGAGAGGAGATAAAGAGAAATCATTACCGTTAGAGTCATCCATTTCTCTGTCGACATCGACATCGACATCCACACCTACATCGTCATCGTCAACGTCATTATCTTCTCCAATGGCAACGATGACAAGTATAACAGCACCAGGGGTGAAGAGTACACCTATAGTAGGAGAGGAGGATTTTAGTCAACCTATTGTTAAAAAGGTTGATTCAAGAAGACGTTATCGGTAAGTTGAATAAAAATAGGGAAGGGTATATTTTTTGAATTATATTGTATCATTTAAACGCTTGGAATCAATCACTCTGTATATATATACATTATTATTATTGTATCCTTTAATTCCTAGAGGAACATAGGGCTTCAGCCGTGTGTCTCCATTAAGTTCGGTTCTCTGCTAGAGTCTTCCCACACGTTTTCATCTCCTCTTCACATGACCTCATCCAAGTCACCCTGGCACTGACGACCAACTCGCCGCTTCCCTTTCAGGTTCCACTCGAGCAATGGCTTGTCTAGTGATGTCACTTGATGGTTTCCTCAGAGTATGGCCAATCCATCTCCATTTCTTTCTGCATATTTGTTTCACAATCGGTTCCTGGTTGGTTCGCTCTCAGAGAGCACTATTGCTGATCTTTTCTGACCGGCCATCTGATCTTGAGTATTGAGCGAAGACAACTGTTAATGGAGTTCTGTAGTTTGTTTGAGATGCTCTTTATGACGCGCAGTGCAAGTCTCTGATCCGTATAGTAGCACTGACTGGTTTCACATTGGAGTTGCAAATCCGGATGTTATTTTTGATGCTGAGTGTTGTTGACCTCCACACAGACTTAAGAGTAGTGACTCGCATTGTGTGCGTTCTTTCTATTTCCAGTTCGTCAACAGGATGTACCTGGATGTTGAGTGAATGAGTGAGTGAGTGAGAGAGTGACAGTGTCCCTACTGAAATTCGTAACCAGCATTTATCATTTCAAACTTTTAGTCATAGTGTTCAGTAGACACGCTCTGGGGCCAAAGAGAACCACGTTTTTTTATACACTTGGGTATTGGCTTCAATCAAAACTTGCCGTTAATCTACTTTACTGACTCTTTTTTTACAAGAATAACTAGCTTTATTGATTTGATGATATTAGATGGTTAGAGGCATTCGTCTACAGGAAGCCTTGCCTGACCTAGATTTCGTGCTAGTTGGCACTCACCAGTAGTCAGTAAGGCGTATCTGCAATCACCTTGAAAGAACCTAGTGTCCTTTCTGAGATTCGAACCCGAGTCACCCAATAATGCAGTCAGTCAGTTAGAGACGTTACCGTATTTAAAATGTTTACAAACTTCTGATTTGCATGTTCCGGCAAAGTTCCACAATAGCGTCCCAAAAGGGATGCGAACGCACGAGTGTCTTTGAGCCGACCAATCACAAAAATGAGGAATTTTTGCATGAAAAATGACGTATATATATTCAAGAGAATGCATGAAAACACATTATAAACAGGGCATCTTTCTCTGTGACATGACTTAAAAATACTTCCTAGTTATAATGAGGAGTATAAGTTGCTAGGTTAGACTAGTTTCTGTACATGTATTCACCGAGGCGACTGAAGATGAGCTATTTTTGTGAATTATTTATCTCTCTTATTTTGTTGTGCAGTCTTCGACAAAAGCCCTCGGTTGAAGTACTATGATTCACAGTAAGAGGATCGACGACTACTTACAAGGAAAATGTGGATAAGAAGACAAATTAAAATAATTGTCATCAACTTTAAATCTATCCGTAATCGTAACCCTAACCTTAATCCTAACCCTAATCCTAATTATAACCCTAATGCTAACCCTAACGAGCTATTAACATATTGTCCGAACAGTACTTAAACACGTGATTTGAGTGAAATTTTCCGCTTAGTTCGTGAATAGCGTTGATATTTCAGCTGTGATGATAATGACAAGTGCCGTTAGCCAACGACGACTAGCATGCGTTCAAGGTCATTGGAGCGTTCGCACTTCCCTGGGACACTATTGTTGAACTTCGCCCAAGTTCCTACTAAACTTGACGAAAGGCCTGACTGTGGATGGAGAAGTGTTCCAATACATGAGAGAACTATGTCCTTGAGTCTCAAAATGTTCTTCGGAACATCTTACAATTGGCTTCCAACTAGATCAGTGTCGTGAATTTCCTGAAGGCAGGAGACAAAGTAGATATATCATCATAATGGGATAGTTTGTGCTTCAACTCAGAGACCACTGTGTGTCACAGGATATACTACTGTCAATCAGTTAATATTTTACTTGAATATATTGAACGAAGGGAAAATTGTGATGCAATCAACTCCTCTAAAAATTCTGTACATTTTTTAAATACTGTCCAGAATAAAGATGTTATTATTAATATTATATTTAAAAAAAGAAAATTCATCCTACCATATATAATAAAAATATTAAAACCGTTTGAAACAGATATGGCACACAAGCCAGCCAGCTAAAAGATCCAACAGAAAAAGAAGATAAAATCGATAACATTTACAAAATAAATTGTATGAACTGTAACAGACGATACATCGGTCAACAAAGTGGGCGTCCCCTTCGAATCAGAATCCAAGAACATAAATTGGCTGTTAAAAGACATGATATATATGTACTTTCATATCAATGCATGTTGATAAATAGGGACATCAATTTGATGATTGGGATAATGTCGAAATTTTAAACAAAGGAAGAAACACCAGACAGTGATGTGCAGTCAGGGAATTCCTAGAAGCCTGCTTGGTACTCAAGTGAATCAGCCAGCGATTAACAAACGTACTAATTAATATAAACCAAATCTGAATGGGCCTTTTTATTTTGCACTTACTTACTTTACTTTACTTCGGCTATCTCCTACGGGAGGATGAGCCGGCTTCATGAACATCCCGAATCATCGCTGCCCAGGCGCGGCGATCTGATGAAGAGAGTTCATGAAGTTTCATGGGAATTTGGTAAGAGTGATGTCCCCAGAATCCCTCAGCCTTTTGTTTGAGAGTGCAGCTCTAGCCTTTACACAACCAAGTGTGACCTACAAGGCAGTAGGAGTGGAGTAGGGAGTCCACTATCCATTGGCAGCCGGTGACCGGAGTTCGGTTCATACGCCTTTTTGAATGGGGCCAGACATCCAGGACATCCAACAAGCCCTTTGTCCATACGTCTGACGGTGAGCTCCAGTGAGCTTCATACGCCAGTCGTTGGAGGTTTGGAATCAGGGTTTAGCCATCTCCCCTAGACTGTCATCCAATGGACAGTCAACCCGGTGAAGAGCGCCGGGCATCCGCTTTCGCCCTCTCACTTTGGTGAAAAACACCTCCGCCACGTGAAGGCAGTGAGTAGGACTTCCTAAGGAGAGGCTATGTAAGACACCCGGTCATATGGGAGCATTTGAAGAGGTGTGCGGAGGGGTGGCCAACCCGCAGCGCAAGGCACCCACCCCCGACCATCCTGAGGCTTTGGAGGCACGTAGAACTCTGGCCTCTGTTATTCGGAGTATTCGATATCTAGAGGCATTTAGTAATTTATTGGATACCCACTAGAAGATGACAGAGAAAGACTCATCAATGCCAGCCAGCTAGCTTTGTGACCCTTTCGGGTGAAGTGTTAATGGCTTTATAAACAAACACTCTTATTAAGCCTCACCGGTAGGTGTGTTCCCAAGCACGAATAATTAAGTTCCCGTTGAGGAACTGACGGCTAATATAGACGGCTCGAGAGGAGCTGCTGAATTGATAATAGATACGATTAGAGGTGGCTAGCCCCTACATACCTACATACCTTTCGGTTTGGGAATCACAACCGTTTGTGTGGAAAATGTAGTCTGCAAGTCACTGTCAGTATTAAATGTCCTTTGAATAAACTTTTTCTCAACTTGTTGTTAGTTATTATTTCATCACTTGGTGTGTATGTATGTCTATCATCTTTGAACTGTAGTCGTATGTATAAAGAGGGTGCGTCGGTGGCATAGCCGTTAGGACGCTCGCGGACCATGCACATGGTCCGGGGTTCGATACCCGGCCAATGGACGCACTGCTTTACCTCGCTAAGCCAGAAATAATGCTGGTAAAGAGGAAAGATTGGGCATGAGGCTAGCAACCCCATCCTGTAAAAATTAGACACTGCTACAGAAACTTCAAGCCACTAGCTTGAGGCCCTATTGTTGGTATTAGATGGTTGGAGGCAATCGGCCACAGGAAGCCTTGCCTGACCTAGGTTTCATGCTAGTCGGCACTCATCAGCAAGGCGTATCTGCAACTACCTTGAAGGAACTGATGTCCCTTCTGAGATCCGAATCCGCGCCACCCAGTGCTGCCTGCATTCAGAGACGTTACCACTGAGCTATTCAGGCTCGCGGCTGACCTCCTATAGGACTGTATTGGATATTTTTGATTGCTTGGATTTTGATTGATTGGATTGGATTGATTGGATATTTTGATTGCAATCAAAAATATCAAATACAGTTCTACAGGAGGTCAGTCGCGAGCCTGAATAGCTCAGTGGTAACGTCTCTGACTGAAGGCAGCACTGGGTGACGCGGGTTCGAATCTCAGAAGGGACATCAGTTCCTTCAAGGTTGCAGATACGCCTTGCTGATGAGTGCCGACTAGCACGAAACCTAGGTCCAAGGCTTCCTGTGGCCGATTGCCTCCAACCATCTAATACCAACAATTCACAGTGCACCGTAATGGCGAGCCACCTAGCATGGTGGCCACATTGCAAACATGACTGATAGAATTCAGTCTGCACCGAAGTTAGGACTAGACACATTACACTAGTAACTGACTAGTGTGCAATCAAAAATGAGGCCCTATGTTCCACTGGGAACGTGAAGGAAAAAAAAAGTGTATAAAGAGAGAGGCTTCTTATTAGCAGATACGGAGGAATTCTTTTCTTCTCTCTCTTGGCCATGTTTTTTTTTTGGTAATAAAGTTTTCAGGGTTGCCGTTATCAATTAACCCCTTTAGCTGAGTGTCTTCTTCGTGAAGTTTTACTTGAATAAGTGAAGAAAATCCTGGCAAAACAGTGATCAATCAAGTATCTTGTCTAAGACCCTCCAGCAGTAATATTTCACAGTGATGTACTACTTTCGAATTTTACGGTTACATATTATTACTTGAATAAATTTCAGTAGGTGCGTCGGTGGTAATAGTGGTAGAATGCTTGCCGGCCACTCGTGTGGCCGATGCACTCCTTCACCTCTCTAAGCCAGTAGTAGCTGCTGCTGCTGGATTCAACAGAGAACTTGGCACCGAAGTACAGCAGTTCGAGTTGTCACGTTCCAAATAGCACACAAAGGTAGACAAGACAATGAGTGAAGAGAATCAATAGAATTTAGACAAGTATAAGAGTGAAACAGAATGAGTAATGGTAGAAAGGAATATGAAAGATTACAGAGACTGAATACATCTGCGTAAGCCATTGACAACGATTTTGAGCCATGTCACCTAGTGTCTCCAGCCATTGATTCTTAGAGTCCTGAGGGCGGGCCCCAGCCCGGAAGCCAGTAGTAGGGCCGGCAAAGAGGGAAGGTTGAGGCTAGCATGAGGCTAGCAGCCCCATCCTGTAAAAGTAATAAACACCACTGTTACTGAAAATTCAACCCCCTAGCTTGAAGCCCGCTATGTTCCACTGGGAACGAGAAAAAATCCATTTGAGTAAAAATACGCTAAAACGATAATCATTCAACCGTGTTCAAGCTTATCAGTCAGTCTTCCACTTAGATAATAATAATAATAATAATAATAAAAACGGTGGTCGCGCTAAATGCATCACGAATTGGTAGAAGTTAGAATTCATAAACTGACTACTGAATCGGGTCCCAGTGGCTGAATGGTATGCGAGCCAGCTTGCCTTGTCACCGGAAGGTCCTGGGTTCGAACCCCACTGTGGTGGGTGAGTACTGACAGTGAGTCCCAAACAAGTTGGACGAAACAGCTGGCTGTCCAGTACTCCAGTGCTGGTTTTCAATGGTTCCTCTAACTGATATCAATCCGTAGTCAAACTCGTATAAACAAATCTAATCCTCACAAACCAAACTATAGAAAATTAATCTGATACTCGCTAGTGACGCTTGCTATAGGATGAAGTTTCCTGGAGTGAGTTCTAGTGAGAAGTCGTGACCAGTAAGTTCCATCCAGACGTCAAGTGTGAGGATGGATGTCCCACCGATGACATTGGTTGGTGCCAGTCGCGTTAAATGCATCACGAATTGGTAGAAGTCAGAATTCATGGTCTGGCCATTGAGGTGTTGGGTCCCAGTGGCTGAATGGTCTGTGGGCTTGACTTGTCACTGGAAAGTCCTGGGTTCGAACTATGGCAGTGGGCGCGTATTCATGAAGAGTCCCAAACTGGGACAAAACAGCTGCCCAACACTTCGCCCTGGTTTTCAATGGTTTTCTAACTGATTTCAATCACAAAATAATCGAGCAAAGAATATTCTTTTCGATAAATTCCTCTTCCAGGCTCTACAATAATATATATGTGTTAAATACACAGAATATTTTAAATTAGTAGTTAATAACAATATTAGCGTTTTTTAAATAATATCGATTTGTAAAGTATGGTCAATGCTACTGCAGTTCATTAAAGATGCTTAAATTATAATTATAATAATAAAGATATAACAGCGAATAGAATATCAACTAAAATTAGGGAAATTTCACGAAAATTCTGGATTATTCAAACCTGGATGGCCAAGGTAATGATAATGGGTGCATAAATTAGGCTTATTAATATGAATCCCCACAGCCCCAGCAATATTTAGAAGTCGAACTCTTAAAGCGAAATTGAGATTCGTAGGTATGCGGTAAATGACCCTGAAAGCATGATTAACGTCAATCTTGTGTTCTGTCTCCACAAGATGCACCAGAATAGCGCTGCGAATAGATTTTGTTTGACCTTTGCTTAACCAACCACTGTGCAGGGTGATGTTCGGAAATTCGACGAGAAACACACCTAATTGTACGGCTTATGTAACTGGCTCACTTCACAGGAGCAGTTGAATTGGTATATACACATGGAAGAGGCGAAATTAGGCAGTTTGTCTTTTATTCCCGAACGCAGAAGAGGAGTGGTTTAAAAGATACAGCGTAATTGAGCAGCAGGGAATGCTCTTTTAACCGAATTTCTGAGGCGATGTGTTAGTATCTCACTTGTATTGTCTCCTAGGCACTGCATCTATAAGAACAAGGCTTTCTTTTGAACTGTTGGTAACTTGGACTGTTTTGGTTTCAGATTCATATTCTTAGCAATAAACTTTTCGGGATAACCATTCTCACTTAGCAACCGTTTAATATTGTTAAGCTCCTCGTCAAGACATTCATCCGAGCAAATCTCTCTTGCTCTGTGGATCAGTTTTGAAAGTAATAAATATCTACTCTAAACTACTTTTTGTATTCAATAGTATTCAATAGCTCAGAGTAGTAAACAAACATAGTTTAATCTTACACTGACTAATCTCCGTTATTATTATTATTATTATTACTATGATATCAAAATAACCCGAGCTGTGAAAAATAAACAACTCATGAAGAACATTCCATTTAATAGAATAATACATTCGTAAAGTTCATAACTCGGATATCTTTGTGGTTGTTTGTGTTTGTTTACTTTTTCTAAGTTTGACCTTTATTAGTACTTTGAATATTTTGAAATTATGATTCGTCTTCTTGTTGTGATCATAGAGAAAGAGAAATAATCTGACCAATAACCTTTTCAATAATCTTAGCCACCATAACTACACGATGCCTAGGGGAATTCATGAATTGCTGTGTTACACAGTTCGACGTGAGATTTCACCATCTCCATCTCCACGACTACCACGACCACGACCGCCACCACCCCCACAGGGAACTAGACATATTCATATCACCATATATATGTGTGATCTACTTCGTACGTACCATAAATGACAGCTAAGAAAACAAGCATATTTTGCATAAAATCATATATACTACTGATTGACTGTGGTGAGTAGTTGTATGCCACTAGCATCAATCAGTAGTACTTGTTAGCCAGCCAGCCAGATGGTAGTCATTTCAGTACAGGAAGGTGGCTTCGTTCGTATTGGGTCGAGCATATATCAGCAGTGTACCTGGTTTGAGCCAACTCAGAGGGTCAAATCAACTGAAACCACCCGATTTCTGGTCCAAGCAACTAGCGAAACCGCCGTCTTGTATTTAAACCACTTAGATCTGGCTGGCTGGCAAGTACTACTGGTTGATGCGAGTGGCCTGATTATTATTATCGTTATTATTATTACTATTACTCCCTTGGATAGATATTCAACAGTACATCTCAAACACGACCAGTTCACTTCTGTACTTGCTAGCTGGCCCAACGACGACTGACTGTAGGTTTTCATTTCCCCTCCCACCTCGGACGACCTCTTCCATGTCACCCCCTCGGACGCCAAACTCTTCGTTTCCCATTTTGGTTTTCACTTTAGTTTATGCCTGGAGCGTGATGTTATCCAATTGTTTTTACATTTTTCATACATTTATTCCCCTTAATAATGAATTTGATCAAAGCAAGAACTACAGTTTGTGCAGTATAAGGTGATGGTACCATCATTGCTCTTATTTCGTTGGTTTCTCATCAGCTGCTTACAGGCCAAAGTCATTATTAAGTAGTATGTCTACTGAAACAATTTTAACATACTTGCGCAGAGTTCATTTTTGAACAAAAATCAATCAATCAATATATGCATACAGTAATAATATATATATATATATATATATATACATATATATATATATAGAACCCCAAGTAACTACCTAAGTGAATAGGGCAAGTCGCTAGTGAGCATCTCATCGACATTCAAGTGTTGGTTTGTAGGGATTTGATTGATTGATTACAGGATTGCATTCTTTGTAACTGGAAGGTCATGGGTTGGAACTCTGGAGGTGGGTGGGTACTGATGAAGAATTCCAAACTATAGGCTGACGAAACAGTCGGCTGTCCAGTACTCCCTGGTTCTCTAACCAATGTCAGCTCATGATGAAATCCTGTGAACAACCAATCAAATCCCTACAAACCAGCAATTCAACACTGTTTCTGTTCTTGTTTTTATTCAAATTAACCTTTTGTGTTGAACTCTTCCCCCTGTGAAATTGCATTCTTTATCTTTTTTTTAAAAAAAATTTTTTTTCTTTTAAATCTTTCTTATCAGGTGTAACATCTGTCCAACAACTTTTCCGTGGCATGGTGATTTAACTGAACATTTACGTTCTGTCCATGGTATGCAAAAATCACGTGAAAATTCAAGAAATGGTAAAGCTGGCAGTTTTTGTTGCAGTCATTGTAAATATGTAGCAAAATATCAGAGTGAATTAAATCGACATATGCGATTACATTGGGGTGTTAAACCCTTTATTTGTGTCTTTTGTCCATATCGTAGTGCATGGAAAGGTGATTTAAAACGTCATATGGAATCACATCATAGAGAACGTTTTACATGTGAAACAGAATTGATAAAAATTATGTCACAGTTTAAAAATAATGCTGGTACACGATCTGCATCCGCGTCAGCGATGACAACAACAACAACGACAACAACTGGTGGTGAATGTAACAACTCCTCGAATTACTCGATTTCACAACTTGATATTACCACAGAAAGTAGTGATGGAGAAAATCTTAGTGAACAGTACAATTGTTATTTACAAATAGATGAAGAGGAACAAATTATTAACACAAGTAGTGGTACTACTACTACTCTTCCGAATATAGTGAGTACTATTCATAAAAGTATTGATATCGAAAATTCAGAGAATAGTACCATGGAGAATGATATTAAAGTTAGTAGCAGTATAATCAAATCAGATGAAAAGGCTTCTAAAGGCAAAAATTCTTCTGTATATAATGAACAAGGCAATACTCCTATGACTGCTCATCCCTATAGTACTACTACTACTACAAACACTGCAGTAGTAACAATGAGCAGTAATACTGTTGTGAATGCTACTCTTCAAAGTAATCTCTACGGAAATCTATCACAGAGTTGTCTATCATTTACTACAGATAATAATAACAGTAACAACAATAGCAACCTTACATGTGATATTTGCTCTTATCAAGCACAGAATCAAAGTAAATTAAAAAATCACATGGCTAGTCATATCAATTTAAAACAGTTTCAATGTCCAATTTGTCGACAACGCAGTAATTATAAGTGGGATATTACAAAACATATGAAAAAACAACATCCCCAGTGTAATCAATTGCCAATTACAATAATTAACACTTCAACTGCCACTGCTACTGCTACTGCGACTGCGACTGCGACTACTACTACCACTACCACTGCAGAGACTGCTGATGAGGATAAATTCCCGTCATCATCATCATCATCAGCAGTGTCACCAGTGGCGATGGTGTCAACGACGTCATGTCATCAACTGAGACTGCCACTGACACTTCCAGTATCAACATGCATTTCATCTTGTTTATCTTTGTCAACGCCAACTACTTCTACTACTACTACGACATCTGTGTTATCTTCGTGTTCTTCAACAATACAACCATTCACATGGATCGATTCACAGATTGTATCATTTCTGCCTATAGGTGGTCATCAACAGTTTCAACACCAACTGCAACAACAACAGCAACAACAGCAATTGAAGTTGTTCAGTCAACCACAGTTCACTCCAACACAATCTCAGATATTATTATCTGCATCTGCATCAGCGTCGGCGTCCTCATCATCGATATCGTCAATTTCATCACCAAATTCTAATGCAAGTTGTTTATCCTTAGTCGATTGTGATCAGAAGAAGTACTCGAAGTTGGGTGAAATTGCTACTATGCTTGAGAAAGATCAATTAACCCCGTTGAATTTAATTGCTTCTTCAACAATGAAACAACAATCATCAGTTGGTCAGCATAACAATGATGGGTCTTCTTCTTCTTATTCGTTAATAGCTGCAGAGAAAGAGGCTTTAGTTAGTGATACGGTGCCGATTGATCTTTCAATTGGTTATTCTCAGAATCATAGTAACAGCTTTAAGGCTGAGGAGGAAATCAAGGTAATTTGTGCCTCCGGCCGGAGTTTATTTATTTATTCTATTATCTCTTTTGGTGTATTGTAAATATTTATATTAAACACATAAAGGAGTGTTTTCGCTGTACACAGTTGTTTGTACAGAATAAGATCAAACCTTGTATTGGCAGACTGAATTCTATCAGTTAAGTCTGCAATGTGGCCACTGTACTAGGTGGGTGGGGTACCTCGTCATAGTGGGGTGAACTCGGAACTATTGTTGTCATTTTAAGGTGGTGGTTGCAGGCAGTCAGAGGGAAGGTATGGTGGCTAACCTAGGTTTCGTAATTTTGTTAGCACTCATCATCAGTCAGCAAGGTGTATCCGCATTCCTGAAGGAACTTACGTCCCCTCTGAGAGTCGAACGTGTTTAGAGACGTTACCATTGAGCTATTCGGACTTGAGATTGACCTTCTGTCCAGTTATCCCCCATAAACGGGCACTGGTCAAAAGTTTGTTTTATATATATAGCTAAACTAATATGCTCTACTGAAAAATTAGACGAAAAGCTTCTTTTATTCTTGTGAAGAGGTTCAGAAATAACGGTTACCCTCAGAAATTCCCTAACAAGTACGAAATATGTAAAGGTTTAAATGCAGAATAAACCATGTTGAAAAAGAATCCACATTCGCAGTTGATGGGAAGCCAACAAAATCAGTGTTCATACCACCTAATTCCTCAAACAAACCGTTACTTTTGTTTTATTCAAATAAAGGAATATATAAATGTCTTCGATAAGTAATTGTTCTCACCTTCGACCCGCTGTGCCCTACTGGTCACGACTGTCCACTAGAACCGCAGGTAACTGCCTGAATAGGGCCAGTCGCTAGTGAGCATAAGATCAATTTTCAAGTATTGGTTTTGTAGGGATTTTGTTTGATTGTTTGGTTGGAGGATTTCATCATGAGCTGACATCAGTTAGAGAACCATTAGAAAACCTGCCAGGGAGTACTGGACAGCCGACTGTTTCGTCAACCTAGTTCGGGACTCTTCATCAGTACGCACCCACCGGATTGAAGACGAGGCAGTTGGTTGAAGATGAGGCAGTAACTCATTGAAGAAGGCATTGCGACGAAATGGTCACGCTGTGTCGTGAATTGGCTGGCAGAAGTTAGAATTCATGGGCTGGCCATTTGATGCCATCCCAGTGGCTGCTTAATGGTCTACGAGCTCAATAGCCTTGTAACCAGAAGATTCTGGGTTTTAACCCTGTCGTTTGGTGCGTACTGCTGAAGAGTCCCAGACTAGGCTGACGAAACAGTCGGCTATCCAGTACTCTCTGACAGGTTTTCCAATGGTTCTCTAATCAGTGTGTCAGCTCATGACGGAATCCTTCAACCTTAGTTGTTCAGATCGATAGATAGCAGGCTTTAAGCTCATCGACAAAGACTAGAGATCTAGAGATCTAATCTAAGATATTAGTTATCCAAAGGATTTAAAGCAATACTTAGGTGGCACTAATAATGGGATATCCTTTTTTAGATAGTTCCACTACTGTGTATCAGTTGAACTCCCAGTGATAACCATTAAACAACACATTTCAACAGACTTATCGTTTAGTTTTATTTACAAAGTCAGCTTAAATCTACCAAACAGACAGACAGACAGACAGACAGTGTGCGTGTGTTTCCAACTTCGTCGTGCATCTAGAACCTCTGGAACTATATTTCTTCAAAGAATTACGATCAATACACTCACTACTGATTTATGCCTAAGTCAGTTACCTATAATAGGATAACAAATTTATTCCATTATGGATAAGATTTTATTTTGATAAATCACATAGTGCGGTGTTATGCAGTAATATTAACTGATGACCACGTTTCCAGCACAAACTATTGTCACTCATAATCATATCAAGGTACTCACTCACACAACTTTTTCCTTCATTTATATACATGTGTAGAATTGACTAGATATTGGAATAAAATTCAATATGAGATAATGTACATTCAGAGATAATAATAATATGAGTGTTATTGATCAAATACAATTAGATGGGAAATAAGACGAGTGTTTTTATAGTTATAATAAGTAATTTGTTAGAATGTTGTGATTTGCTTGAATTGAAATAGAATAGAACTCACTAGTAGAAGGAATAAAATAACACACAACCACACAATAGGGTGGGATAGGGTTAAGATTCTAAGAAGTAATCTGTGTAGGTGGAGATAGAGAGAGATTGATTACTGAATCCTGCCTGGTTCATCGAGTCTACGCCCATCACATGCAACAGAAGTGACTCAATGAAAATACCAGAGATATGGAAGATATTATTACCACCAGTCAGTCAAATCAGAGGAGGATAATAAATAATCTCAAAATTCTATTTCAATTCAGCACATCACAACATTCTAACAAGTAACTTATTATGACTATAAAAACACTCGTCTTATTTCCCATCTAATTGTATTTGATCAACAACACTCATATTATTATTATCTCTGAATGTACATTATCTCATATTGATTTTTATTCAAATATCTGGTCAATTCCACACATGTATATAAATGAAGGAAAAAGTTGTGTGAGTGAGTACCTTGATATGATTATGAGTGGCAATAGTTTGTGCTGGAAACGTGGTCGCATCAGTTAATATTACTGCATAACACTGCACTGTGTGATTTATCAAAATAAAATCTTATCCATAATAGAGTTACACTCTACCACAGTGCCCAAGTTTTTTTACTGATATCAACAACAAATTTATCTACAATACGCCTTTTCTGAAATGTGTCTATATGTTTTTCCTTGTTGATCACGGATTGATATCAGTTAGGGGAACCATTGAAAACCAGTAGTGGAGTATACTGGACAGCCAGCTGTGTTTCATCCTAGTTTAGCAGTCACCCACTATCCAGTACTCCCTGGTTGTTTTCAATGGTTCTCTAACTGATATCAATCCGTGATCAACTTGTAAAAAAACAAAACTAAGCCTTACAAACCAAACTCTATAGAAAATATGTTTATTATGATTTGTTAAGGTGTACACAACACATTTTGTATACTATTCAAAATGTGGTACTAAGATAGAGGAGTTTTTCGGTCAACAAAGCAAAGTCACCAGTATCATTTAAATTTAGTCTATCTAACTTATTGATTGTTTTAATTTCAACTTTCAGGAGCTAAATAGGATGATTACAAGTCAGTCAGTCGTGAATGTTTGCTACTATATTACTACTACCACTATTAATATTGTTATTACCTAACACTAATGAGAATAACAATAATAATAATAATAATAATAATAACAGCATTATGTATATATATATATATATATATATATTCTATACAATATTTAGTTTACATCGTATGAATGTTGTCCAGTCTTTCTTGTTGTGAATATGTACGTATATACATATATATAGCGCATTTTTGAGACAAAACATCACCCTACTTTTGTTTTCTTCTTAATATGCACGAATATTATTTCTCTTTTTGCTGATAACTAACAAATAGATTTTTCGTTTTTTATATTTTTTGGTTTGTACTAAACAACTATGCGTGCACGTTTGCAAGTGTTTGCGTGTGCGTGCGTGTGTTCGCGCGTGACTGTGTGTAGTTTTCGACTTTGCTATGTTAACCTATTAGTTTGTAGTGTTAGTATATATCCAGTATCCCCTTGGTTGTAGGCAGCTTCTCATATCTTGCATCATGACAAGTTTTGACAGAAAAACAAAACCCTTTCACATTGGTGACTAGTAGTGGAATCTAAAAATAGACATTTCGTCCTATCTGGGACTCGTCAGCTAGATACTCCTGTGTTCCTAGTGAGTGAGTGATGTTGCTCTCACTGACATTGAAACCCCACACCGGTTGAAGCATTATCCTCTATATGCCATGGAGAGTAGAACAGCACAACTTTTGGCTTTTAGAACTGCTTCAGCCTCAATGGGAACACCATCATTCACTGTGCAGTGCTGCAGGTACATCCATCCGGCGAGTCCTAAATAGGACGAAATGCTCATGAGGGTTTTCGCTACTAGTCAGTGTCAACAAAAATATGTGTGTTGTTATTGTTATTCCCTTGGGTTCTGAGTGTTCACATAGGCCTCTGCAGCTGGCTGCATAATTTTGGATAGGATCTCTTCTCCGTCCTACATAATCGCCTCCACGTTACCGTCGGACGCCCAGCAAAACTCATCGTTCCCCACTTGACTTCGTCGACTCAACAGCATACCTGGCATGCGATGTCACTCAACATGTATTCGATCCGCCTACATTTTCTTTGGAACAGTTGTTGAGCAGTTTTTTCTTCATTGGTTCATTCTCACAGTTTCTTGTCGGTGATTCTTTCTTACCAGTCTTCTGATCTTAAGTACTGAGCCAGCGAAGGCATCTGTTGATAAAAATCTGCAGTGATCTGTTGGAAATGCTTTTCGTAAGGCGTGTGGGTCAGCCAAGTTTCTGACCTCGCTTAATTTACTAGTTCTCTAGTTTTCTAGCCGATCATAAGACTGGAAAATGGAGGAAGTTTGGAAAATCAATCGCATCACTACAGAAACTTCAAAGGACAGCAAAAATCAGCCAAAAGAGCATCTCGTTAATCTCTTGGTATCGTTGAAGTGCTTCTACTACTGAAATTAGGAATTTTGGTCTAATATAATCAATCGCTGGGAAGTGCTTATTAATTTAAAATCACTTTTAACCAGTTGTGTAATACATTCAGCATAAAACTAAAGTATTAAGTTTTATATTTTCCTGAGTTCATTTAGTATAATAACAATTAACATTAATAATAAGTTATGCCAATATAATTTCTTATATTTATTTAACTACTAACAAATATTAAGTAGCATCATTTTTAAAGAGAAAAATATCTGTTTTAACTTGTATGAAAAATTATTTTTGATCGAGGAGACATTGTTACTGTGTTCTTTGCCTTCGGTTTCACATTCATTGACTACTTGATGAGGAACATAAAACCACCTAACTGTTTTATTTTTTATGTTTTTCTTCCACGAACACTTATTTCTCAATGAAGCTTTAGTCGTGAACCAAGATCATTAAAATCCAGGAATCATTGAACATCTGTTTCGTCCTAACTCGAGAGTCTTCATCAGTGTGCACTACTATTACCCAATCACGGAATTACTAACCAGTGGAATGGTGTTACAGTGTTTGTTTTCACTTATTGATTTTGTAGGGATTTTGTTTGATTGGTTGGAGAATTTCATCATGAGCTGACATCATTTAGAGAACCATTGGAAAACCAGTATGGCGTACTGGACAACTGTATCCTCCTAATTTGGAACTTTTCAGCAGTATGCATCTAAATGGGTTGAAACTCGAGTTACAAGGCACCCAATCCATTGGCCAGTTCATGAATTCCAACTTCTGCCAATTTATGTAATACCACGACTACTTGCCAATGTCTTCAGCAAGTATCTATCCTGTCAGAAGTTGAAATTCATCGGCCATTGGATCAGGTCGCATGGCTTAACAGTCTACAAGCAAGCTCACCTTGTAACCAGAAGGTCCTGGTTTTGAGCCCTGCCGGTGGCTAAGTACTGTTGAAGAGTGCCAAACTAGGACGAAACAGCTGTCTGGCAGTACTCCCTGGCAGGTTTTCCAATGATTCTCTAACTGATGTCAGCTAATGATGAAATCCTCCATCCTATTTTGTTGTTGTCTTTGTTGAAAAATGCATATGAGATGGACTGCTTTTTTTCCCACAAAGTATTCCTCTTCACTATGCATGTCATCTTGGCTACATTTACTCTTGTATGTTAGGAGGTATAGTATAACCTATTTTATTCAATGCATGCTTTTGTTGTAAATATATTATTATTACAGTTCATTATAGACTCATATACTTTATCCTTTTTTTATGAAACCTTTATTTTTTTTCCTAATGAATAGAATACTGCGCTATTGTTTCCACGTGTACAATCATCACCGAAATCCCCAAACTCATTGAAATTCTCTAGTGAAGAGTACATCCATCATCAGTATAATCATCCTTTGCCGGGTTTATCAACAGAAACCAATTCGAATACTCTGTACTCTGTATCCGCAACAATACCATCCACCGGTCTGTCTGATCTTAGATATAATTTCCCATCTATTACACATCCACTGAATGATTACAGTAATAATAATAATAATACTAATACTACTACTAATAATAATAGTGTTAATCCATCAATTATGTCACCATATACAATTGGTTCATTGATTTCGGATCCTTCTTTAAAAGGGAATGCCTCTTCAGCGGCAGCAACAACATCAACAACCACAGCAACAGCAACGGCTACAACAACTGCTATGAATTTACTATTCAATCTGCAACAACAAGTTTTAATGACAGGCTTACTTCAAACATGGCAGCAACAACAGCAACACCAACAACAAAACCAACAACAAAGCCAACAAACACATGATTTACATCAGAATGATGTTTTAGTGAATAAAACTGCTTCTGACACATTGTCGGCACCATTACCACCATTACCACCACCATCATATTCAGCGTATTCAGATATTATCCTAAGTATGACAACTCCACCAGTGTCTACTACTACTACTGCTGCTACTATCCTATCGTCAGTCTCTTCATCCTCCTCATCACTGATACCTACAACGTCTGTCAGTAGTAGTAGTAGTAGTAGTGGAGCAATATCTGCCCTCGCAACACCAACGAATATGTCATTTCAAAATATATTCAAGTCATTAGTTCATCAACATCATCATCAACATCATCAACAATCCATAGGATTACCGACAATTTCAACAACAAGTCAAAAGGATACTTGTTTTCTGTCAGAGATGAATATAACTCCAAGTAATGAACTGTTAAAGTATACTGTTAAATCGAATAATAATAATAATAGTAATTCAGTGAACTGTTGGGAAGATACCACCAGGTCAACAACATCAGAATGGTCTTTACCTCCTATTGTGGAAGTGGATTCGATAAAATCATCACCGTTATCACCGTTATCATCAACACTGCCTGCATTAAGTCAAGAACATCAACGACATCCTCAACACCACCATCATCATCAGAAGCAGCAGCAACAACAACAACAAACATTGCAGGTGAATCGTTTTTTCACACCAGGTGGTGGTGGCGGTAGACGACGTGAATCCCATCGTTTATTGACAACACGAAATAGTAGTGGACGTAAATCTGCACCAATGTCTACATCATATAATCGTCTTTCAAGTCAAAGTTTTTGTACATATACTACTAATAATAACAACAACAGTAGAAGTAGTAGTAGTATGAATGGTAATAATACTACTACTACTAATAATAATAATGGCAACTCTAAGGAAGAACAATGGAAACGATTTCAGTGTTCTGGTTGTGGTCATCGTTCCAACTGGAAATGGGACATCAATAAGCATATAAAAGTAGGTGTATATGGGACTATTCTCTTTTTTTTGCATCCTAAATGATTCATTTGAGTCGAGAATAATCACCTTAGCCAATCAAATCAAGGCGTAGAGGACTAATCCACTAAATTCTTCACTCTTCATCTGATTAGGGGTTTTTCCATTGTTTGGGATATCAAAGTGGGCTTTAGGTTGCAGTAGTAGAGTATTCTAACAAGAATTCTTCAGATTATGCAACTTATGTCATTTCCCATTGAGGTTCCACTCAGCGGTGTGTGTCCTCAGCATTGTATGTCTAACCAATCTCCATTTCCCTCTGCATATTTGTTGGGTTGCCGACAAGTTCTTGGTAGATTTGTCGCCTAGTGGAGTTCCTTTATTCCTTTCGCCTTTCCAGTCACCCATTTGATATTCCGTACAGGAAGCAGAGAAGGCGGTGGTCTGTTGTTGGAAATTCTTTTCGTAACGCGCTTGCCAAGTCTGTGAACCATGCAGAGGCATTGACTAAATTGATATTAGTAATGGATATCTGTACTGTGTTCCGTATGCTTAGTGCAGCAGATTTCCGTAAGGATTTCAGAGCAATGAAGGTTTGCCTTGCTGTTCTGATCCTGGCGACACCCTGCTCATAGTTGAAAAGATACTGTCCAGTCGGCTAAATGAAAGAGATGACTTCCCTTAGAATTCTCCTGTTGATGATAGTGACTGGTGCTTGTTGTTGTTAAATTCTTTATTCTCCTAGTTTTCACAAAAAGTACGCATTGGGATGCGTCGGTGGCACAGTGGTAGGATGCCCACCGGCCAAGCATATGGTTCGGGGTTCAATTCTCGGCCGACGCACTCCCAAACCTCACTAAGCCGTAAGTAAAGAGGGAAGGTGGCTAGCAACCTCATCCTGTAAAAGTAAACTCCATTGCTACCGAAAATTCAGATCTCTAGCTTGAAGCCCTATATTCCACAAGGAACGCAAGGAAAAGAAAAGAAAAATAAAATAAATTGAAATATAATGTAACTGATCTAAATAGGTGAACTAGTAAATTATAAATGCATGACGATGTATGCTACTGATTGATTAATTAGTAGCTGAGCAGTTGAATACCACTCATATGTGAAATTTCATATTGCACTGTATAAATTACAAAGAGAGGGTTCATCTTCGACAAATCTACTGTTTATGGTCTGAGAAACAGACCGACTGCTCTTATTAGTGAATCAGAATTATTATGAACATCACTCCAGTCAATAACAACGATAACTTATCAGAGTGTTAACAACCCCCTTTTTTCTTCCCATCCCTCTTTACCGGTTAAGTGAGGCTAAGGAGTACGTCGGCCGGGGTCGAACCGCGGACCATCTGAGGCGTAGTTGGCGAGTACTGGACCACTGAACTAGTGACATTCGGTTTTGACGACTTATTTACTAATAGGAGTAAATAAAAACGACAGTTATATTGGTTGGAGGATTTCAGCATGAGTTGACATCAGTTAGAGAACCATTGAAAACACCTGTAGAATGTACTGGTGGGCAGCCGCCTACTGTTTCGTCAGCCTAGTTTGGGACTCTTCATCAGTGCGCACCCACCCCAGGGTTAGAACACAGGACCTCCTGGTTACAAAGTGGGCTAGCTCGTAGATCATTAAGCTCATGAATTCTAACTTCTACCAGCCAATTATGACATAGCGAGAACTGATGAAGAGCCTCAAACTAGCCTGACGAAACAGTTGGCTGTCCGGTACTCCCTGAAGGTTTTCCAATGGTTCTGTAACTGTTATCATTTCACGCAGAAATCCTCCATCAATCAAACAGAAAATCCCTACAAAACCAATACTTGATAGTTAATAAATGAAAATAATTCATCATATTTTGTAAATACTACTTATTTCATATTTAACCAACCATTTTAATTTTGCCTAAAAAAAAATTCACAGGTTGCTCATCCAGAACGTACAAATATAACAACAATTACTTTAGATTTAGAAGATGCAAAGAAAACATACAATGAATATATGAATCGAATGAAATTATCCCGTAATCGTTATCTAAGTGAATCTATCCCTGATATGTCAACAAATTCGACTACATGGATTGGTGGTAATGCTGGTAGTTCTGCTAGTGCCAGTGCTGTTGGTACTAATAGCTTACCTGGAAATACAACTGAAGGTTATTATAGACCGTTTAAATGTTCAGTTTGTGGTCATAGGTAAGTCGAGCGCTTCTTTTTTCTCTCTTCATCCTATCAGTTCTATTCAATGAGATAGAACATACCATGGGTCAGTCTTTTATTGAATTAGAGTATGCAGATGATATTGTCCACCCAGGTGAAGACTCAGACAAAATTCATAGCGCTTCCTGAACACTTTGAACAGAAACCTTGATAATATATTTTGTCGGTGACCAGCTCCTGTCAAATGTAAGATGATGCTGCAAGACTCTGACTGTTACGCTAAAGATAGGGAGTGAATTAGTTGAGCGTGTTGACCAATTCACTTATTTGGGGAGTTGCATCAGCCGATTGCTGACTAGATCTCATCATGGATACAGAAAGCTGGTGTGACTGGCATCTGCCGACTTACATCATATCTGGCGTGGACGTGGTACTTGTCTATCGATTAAAGGACGCGGTACACTCTATCCTCCTTTATGACTGTGAGGCGTGGTCATTGAAAGTGGAAGACATGGAAAGGCTGGTTGTCTTTGATCATAGGTCTCTGCACTCTACCCCCTCCATGTTAGGTGGTATAATAGGGCGAGTAATATTGAAGTTAGGTTTCAAGTATTAGGTAAGGATGGAAAGCCAATCTATGTGGCTGTGATGCTACATTTGTAGTAAGAGAGCTGCCTGCTTGCCGAGAATTGTAGATAGCAATTTACGTCAATGTTACGTCCCCAATCGGGGTCATGAGAAAAAGCAAGAACAAAGCTTAACCTTGAGGAACTCACCAACCAATCATGGCAGAATCAATGTGTGCAAATAGGATTCACAGATATAAATGGCTTAACATTCTAAGAAACGGTCACAAAGAGATAGCAGAATAACCTTCAGCAAGAAAAAAACCAATCAGAAGACATTACTTCTCCACTGACAATAGTGTACATAAAAATCTATAAATACCTCTTGATTTTCTCAATATACAATCTGTTGCCTGGCCCTTGTCTTCTATCATTAAACATTGATTGAGATGGTTAGTACATATATGTGTTACGCATGTCTATCAGCCATAGCCGTCCTCAGCGGGTAATGTTGCGGTGAGAGCTATCTGTTAGCCACAATTGGTAGACAGCAATTCACGTCACCGTTTACATCCCAAATCTTGGTCATGAGGAAAAAAACAAGAACAAAGACTAACTCAACAACCAATCTGAGTAGACTTTGCGTGGGCGGATACGATTCGCAGATATATAGTTTGACCTTCAAAGAAATGGCCACAAAGAGATGACAGAATACCTCTCAGAGAGAAAACAACCAATCGGAAGACGCTGTTTCTCTGTTAACAATAACGCTAATAATAATGTACATAAAAATCTATAAATATTTGTTGATTTTCTCAATAAACGATCTGTTGCCTGGCTTTTGTCTTCTGTCGTTACAATGTTAGCTTGGCATGGGATTAGTTTGCAAGAGAGTTAGTAGTGGTGATCAAAACAAAACATGGTTTTATCAGTCCATGAAATCCATAAATGTTAGTTCAAGTCAACCAAGTAGGAAGGTGTAGACTGCCTCCAAAGCCTCAGGATGGTCCGAGGTGGGTGCCTTGCGCTGCGGCTTGGCCACCCCTCCGAACACCTCTTCAAATGCTCCCATATGACCGGGCGTCTTACATAGCCTCTCCTGAGGAAGTCCTACTCACTGCCTTCACGTGGCGGAGGTGTTTTTCACCAAAGTGAGAGGGCGAAAGCGGATGCCCGGCGCTCTTCACCGGGTTGACTGTCCATTGGATGACAGTCTAGGGGAGATGGCTAAACCCTGACTCCAAACCTCCAACGACTTGGCGTATGAAGCTCACTGGAGCTCACCGTCAGACGTATGGACAAAGGGCTTGTTGGATGTCCTGGATGTCTGGCCCCATTCAAAAAGGCGTATGAACCGAACTCCGGTCACCGGCTGCCAATGGATAGTGGACTCCCTACTCCACTCCTACTGCCTTGTAGGTCACACTTGGTTGTGTAAAGGCTAGAGCTGCACTCTCAAACAAAAGGCCGAGCGATTCTGGGGACATTACTCGTACCAAATTCCCATGAAACTTCATGAACTCTTTATGTTCATGAAGCCGGCTCATCCTCCCGTAGGAGATAGCCGCAGTAAAGTAAAGTAAGAAGGTGTAGACTGGCTTTCGTGATCTTCTATATCCATTAAACCTTCTTATATGTTGAAACTCACTCACTAATATAGCGAGAATTATTTTTTATTTGAAATTATTTCCCCCCTTTTTTTCTTTTTCATTTTTTCTAGAAGTAACTGGAAATGGGATGTTGGTAAGCATATCAAACAAATTCATAATGGAAATGGTGAAGTACAAACACTAAGTCTTGAAGAGGCTAGACGTACAATACATCAGTATAAAAATCGTCGACGACAACAACACCAACAACACCAACAACAACAGCACATACGTCAATCGGAATTAGGCAGTAAATTTGAACCGAGTATTTGTAGTTCATCTGAATCAAATATGAATTTATCATCATCACCTGTCTCATTATTATTATCATCATCAGTCACTGGTGATGGTAACACCGATCACCATCATCAACAGCCTGTATCATCGAATGATGTAATCATGCAAGGTGGTGGTGATGAACAAGAAATCCGATCACATCACGATGATGCCGACAATGTTGATGCTAATGATGATGACAATTTAGACGATGAAGACAGTAGTAGTAATAGAAATTCTTTAGCGAATAAACCTTCTTTATCTTCACAATCAAGTCCATTGAATTTAGCTATTGACACTTTAGAGGATGATATTAATAGTACACAAGAGGAGGATTGTTGTTGTACTACCGCTGGTGAAATTAGAAAATCATCACAATTGTCAAAGAATCCGTTGAATAAAAAGAAGGCATTATTATTATTATTTCGAAAACATAGACAATCGATCAAATTCACATGTAAATTTTGTACAGTTCGACTGCAATCATGGAGATCTGTTATATTTCATGCCTATACAAGACATTATCAACAAATGACCGCTAATGGACAAACTATTGACGATTTAACAAAAAAGTGTCTTCTGCCACGAATACATTTTCCGGTTGGAAACGATGGTCACAATGAGCGTCGTGGTTTCAGCTCTTATGATAGACAACGAATAAAATTGCTTAAACAACAAAATGGAGCTGTTATGCGTGGAATGGTTAAAGAAGACTCGAAGTATGAAACAGAGAAAAACACTATTTCCAAGGTAAGATTAGTAATTTTATCTCTTCTTTTGAAACGGCTCACATTATTAAATGAGCAAAGAATATTCAGATTTACGATAAGCTCTTCTTCTTTATATCAGGAATAATTGTTTTTGACAATATCAATTTTCAAGTATTGATTTTGTAGAGAACCATCGGAAAACCAAGAAGGGAGTACTGGACAGCTGTTTCCTCCGTCCTAGTTTGGGAACCTTCAACAGTACGCAATCACCGCCACTGTTCGAACACAGAACAAGGCTCGTAGACCATTAAACCAATTCCCTACAAAACCAATAATTGAAAATTAATCTGATGCTTACTAGCCACTGGCCCTATATTCAGGCTATCAGTTACCTGGGATTCTAGTTGGAAGCCGTGACCAGTAGCGTACAGCAGGTTAATGGTGAGGCAGTAACTCATCGAAGAAAACATTGCGCGAAGTGGTTGCGCTATTGGTAGAAGTTAGAATCCATGGGCTGGCCATTGGATCTGGTCTAGTCGGCTTTTTAACCAGAAAGTCGTGGGTTCGAACCCCTGTGGTGGGGCGTACTGGTGAGGAGTCCCAAACTAGGCTGAGGAAACAGTCGGCTGTCCAGTACTCCTTGGCAGGTTTTCCAATGGTTCTCTAAGTGATGTCAGCTCAGCTCATGATGAAATCTTTCAAAATCAATTTTTGAAAGATTACATTGAATAATCAGTAGTTAGTATCTAATGATTACATTTGTAAAGCATCAGTGAGAGAGAGAAATAATATATAATAATAATATAACACTAAACTGATTGAATATCGGATCGGTTAAGGCAATCAACACAAAATTTGTGAATTCATAGATTTGACAGTTGACCAGGATAGCAATAATGTCTGAATGGGCCTGTTTATTATACTAGCAGAGTATTGTAGAGTATTTGATATCTAGAGGTGTTTGGTAATGTATTGAATACCCAATAGATAGATGATAGGGAAAGACTCTTGAAGTCTGTATGGAAGAGGAGGTGACCCACTATGGAACTGTTGACGGTTTGTTTTGACAACATCTTCATCTAAGCACAGTGGTAGTTGTTCCCGAGGATGAAAAGCTATGTTCATACAGCAACCGACAGTCAATTCAACTCGCTTCACAGGGGAAGTTGAACTGTGGTAGATACAAGAAGAGATGGCTAGTCTAGGTAGGTATTTCAAGAGGTCAATCGCGAGCCCGAATAGCTCAGTGGTAACGTCTCTGACTGACTGACTGCAGCAATGGGTGACACGGGTTCGAATCTCCGAAAGGACATGAGTTCCTTCAAGGCAGTTGCAGATACGCCTTTCTGACTGGGGAGTGCCAACTAACTAGCACGAAACCTAGGTCAGGCAAGGCTTCCTGTGGCCGATTGCCTCCAACCATCTAATATCAGGTGTAACAACAGAAGACAAGGGCCAGGCAACAGATCATTTATTAAGGAAATCAACGCATATTTATATATTTCCGTGTTCATTACTATGGATATTTAAACAAACAAACACAGTCTCCCGATTGGTTGTTTCTCACGTAAAGTTAATCTTTCATCTATTTGTGACTGTTTCTTGAATGTCAAATCCTCTATATGTTCACTGCATCCGCCTACGCAAAGTCTGATGTGGTCGGTTTTGAATCAATCTTTGTTCACATTTTCTCACGACAAATCTTGGGAACGTAAATATTGACGTAAATTACTGTCTACCAATTTGGCTAGTAGACAGCTCTCACCACACAGGTATTTCACCTTTCAGTTTCGGAATGACAACCGCTTGTATGGAGATATAATCTGCAGCTTATCGTCAGCATTAAACGTCCTTTGAATCGATTTTCTCAACTTGCTGTTAGTTATTATTCTACTTGGTATATCTATCACTTTTGAATTGTAGTCGTATGTACAGAAAGAGGTTTCGTGTCAACAGACGCAGAAGAGTTTATTTCCACTTCCTTGGTTTTGTTTCCCTTTTTCGCTTACCCATAAAACTAAATCTATGGATATACATAGAGTGGTGGCTAGTTATGGAGTTGCTATATTCCTTAGTGGTCATTATGTCACAGGTATACCGTGTTCAGTCTTTTCGATGAAAGCATTGACATCTTCCTTCCAACCATTAATCTCTTCTGATAAAGCGAAAATATTCATTCAGACACAAACAAAATCCATTCAAATAGCGCTATTCTATCTCACTCATCTTGTGGATGCAGAACACGAGATTGATGTTAACCAAGCAGCTTTCAGAGTCATAAACCGCATACTAACAAATCTCAATTTTGCCTTAAGAGTTCGACTACTAAATATTGCTGAGGCGGGCTGTTGGGATCCAGATTAAGAAGCCTAATTTGTGCGTCCAAAAGAAGTTAGTACGCCTGTGAAACCTGGCCTCTCTGAGATGAGGATGTGCGGCGACTCTGCGTGTTCGATCATCGCTGTCTCCGTAGGATTGTTTGCGTTCGATGGCATCATCGCGTGAGTAATTCTGAGGTTCGGCGGAGTGTGTCTTAACACAGTGGAGATCACCATTGATTGAGTGTCGTCATCTGGTAACACCGGCTCCGGTGGCTTGGACATGTGCTGCGAATGTCATCCCAGAGGCTTCCGTACAGGTCTCTGTTCGCTAGCCAGCCCTGGGACGGGATAGAAAAGGCGGAGGGGTGGTCAGTCAATGACGTGGGGTCGTGGGATGAAGGATTTTTGTGCTAGATTATCATCGGTTGGTGCGTCATGACTCCCTGGTTGGGGTCCGCGAGATAGCTCGAAAAGTTATCGGATATGGCCAAGAATCGTAATCAATGGCGAACGTGTTGCAATTTCCTTCTTTCTTCCCTTCCTGATGATAGTTAACGAATACTGTTTGAACTTGTTAAACATGACTGTTTTTTCCTTCCAGATGAAGTTCTTTATCCTTTTACTACTTATATTTTTACTTTTAATCTATGTTGTTTTATTATCATTGTGTGGCGCATCTTTCTTGGTGCCATATTGTACCAAGTTTTTTATTCTGCGTTTAAATAATAAAAAAGTAACAAGTACAGACATTCTCCTTACTTTGGCCATCTAGGTTTGAATGATCCTGAATTTTTGTGGAGTTTTCCTAATTTTAGTTGATATTCTATCTGCTACTATATCTTTATTATTACTATTATAATTTAAGCATTCTTTATGAACAGTAATTCCATTGTGATCTTATTTTACAAACCGTTATTATTTAGAAAACACTAATATTTTTATTGACTACTAATCTAGAATATTCTATGTATATAGACATGCATATATAATGGTAAAGCCAGAAGAGGAAATTATCGAAAAGGATATTCTTTGCTCTTCTGGTATGTTTATTTGTAACTCAATAAGTGTATGACATCGCTTAGTATGTGTGACTGTTCAATCGCCTGTGGAAAACCTCTTTCCCAACGGTTTCGAGTATCCTTCCTCTTTTTGAAATTTAAGACATGAAGAAACTCAGGGCTAGACATCATTACATCGTGTTATTATACCTAAGCTGGGGATTTTCGTTAACCTTTAAAAAACGAGAATTATTCATAATTTTGTTCCATTTTCATCTTTTTTTTTTAGAAAATGTCGAATGATGACTACACCAGTGAACATTTGATACAATCAATAGAAGAGAATAACTCATCTTTTGAAAGTGACCCTAAAAATCAACACGCCGCTACTACTACTACTAGTCAAACATCTTCAAAAGGTAAACTGACACGCATTGAAGAAGATCAGAAGCACTTGTCCGAGTTTCCCAGTTTCGTTTATCGTAATTCATTAAAATGTCATAGAATTATAAATAAACATTATCAAAATCTAAGGCATGAATCTCATTCAACTGATTTAAATTCTAAAACGCCTTATTCATTCCCCTCGGAACATGACGAAAAACACCACTATCATCAATCCAGACCATTTCGAAATTTGGTTTGTTTAAATCAACCAAGCGATGATGGCGCGAAAATGAATTCAAATTTAAACAGCTTTCAAAGGTCATCAAGCCAAAATCAACACACTAGTAGTCAGCATATTATAACAACAAAGAATAAAACTGGGACAGTTGTACAGTTGGCTAGTTTATTAGATGATGTATTAAGCTTGCTAAATAAATCACAAATTAATGAAAGTAGTAACAATAGTAATAATAATAATACTAATAATAATGTGAAATATTCTAAAAGTGATAGAAATGGTGATGTTGAAGTCAGAATTAATCAAGAAGGTGAATGTCCAAGGGAACATAACGATGATGTAATCACTCATCTAACTGATATGATACATGAAACTGTTGCAAAGAATGAAAATCTGCATTATACAAATCAATTAACCGTGATATCAATGAATTCAAGTACTAGTTCAAATGAAGAAAATCAGCAAGTGAAACAGGATAGAGATGAGTAAGTTTAATTCAGGTTGTTGTATTCGCATAAATATTTTGATTTCTTAAAACTTTATAAAGCTGTGTCAATTAGTTGATGCTATGTATGCATGTATATATATATGTGTATTAGCTGAATCTAGGACATATGTTTCGTCCCACATGGGACTCATCAGCCGGATCACTTACATCCTATTGTGACGGTGTTCGTATTAACACTAGAAGGCGCGGTATACGTCGTTTTCAACGCTGAGAAGTGATTCCCGTGGTCCACAAGACTAGTGAATAACTCTTTGATGTGTTTGGTGGGATCGATGATTGATTCTAGGGACACGACCACTCACTGGGAATTAATGTAAATAAACCCAGATGACGAATCTCAAGTAGGATCTCATTACTGGTCACTAAAAACTAAATGGTATAAACGAAGCGTCCATCCATTCATCTATCCACCGTTTTTTAAATGTGAAAGCTTGAGATCACGATCTGACATCATTTGAGGAGTGTACTAGATGGCTGTTTCGTTCTAATTAGGAAAATTGTTTAACAACACACTGTCATAATCCCACCAAGAATCGATCTGATCTAACCAAGAACTTTCATCTTACGAGCTGTTGAGCTGTTGACAGCTGTCCAATACTATCTGGACAGGCCGAAATGGTAACCTAACTTAAGCTAAACTTATTTTCTTGTTTTGCCCATTCAAACTCATCTAAATCAAATACAGCGTCTACAGTTTAGGCGTACATTAAAAAAGAATTGTACACTATGCGTTGCGTTATATTATATTACTATTCCCTTGGGTTCCAAGTGTAACATAGGGTTTTAACAGCAGACCTCTATTCCATCCTGCTCTCTGCAGTCCTGTTTAAGTGGCCTCATAACTACTTATACTTACTTACCTTACTTTACTTCGGCTATCTCCTACGAGAGGATGAGCCGGCTTCATGAACATCTCGAATCCGTTTGTAAGAGAGTTCATGAAGTTTCATGGGAATTTGGTACGAGTGATGTCCCCAGAATCGCTCGGCCTTTTGTTTGAGAGTGCAGCTCTAGCCTTTGCACAACCAAGTGTGACCTACAAGGCAGTAGGAGTGGAGTAGGGAGTCCACTATTCATTGGCAGCCGGTGACCGGAGTTCGGTTCATACGCCTTTTTGAATGGGGCCAGACATCCAAGACATCCAACAAGCCCTTTGTCCATACGTCTTCCGGTGAGCTCCAGTGAGCTTCATACGCCAGTCGTTGGAGGTTTGGAGTCAGGGTTTAGCCATCTCCCCTAGACTGTCATCCAATGGACAGTCAACCCGGTGAAGAGCGTCGGGCATCCGCTTTCGCCCTCTTACTTTTGTGAAAAACACCTCCGCCACTTGAAGGCAGTGAGTAGGACTTCCTTAGGAGAGGCTATGTAAGATGCCCGGTCATATGGGAGCATTTGAAGAGGTGTTTGGAGGGGTGGTCAACCTGCAGCGCAAGGCACCCACCCCCGACCATCCTAAGGCTTTGGAGGCTAACTAACTACTTATAGGCTTCCATTTTCTCCTCACATGACCTCCTGCATGTTTGGAATGTCCTGTTGCAAAAGCTTTACGTGACGCGCCATGTTTCTGACACACACACATAAAACAACTGATTGACTTAACATTGGTGTTGAAAATCTGAATCTTATTTAATTGAATTTTAGATTTTCCCGTCGATTGATTGATTGATTGGGCCGAAGTGCTCGGCCTCAAGTTGACATGTCTGTTGGCTTCTTGTGCAGATGCTTCGATGATGTCTGGGCATGTAATTATTATAAGTGAATTGGTGGATGATGAATAGCAGGATAACGCGCATTTCGTCCTACTTGGGACTCGTCGAGTGGATGCGCTTGAATCATCTAGATGTACCTGGGGAATGCAGGTACATCCAGCGGATGATGAGTTCCAAATAGGATGAAATGCGCGTTATCCTGGATTCCATCCACTGCTAGTCACCATCCACTAATTAAAATCTCAATCTAGTTCTTAATTTCAAGCGTAGCAGATTTCCAAACTGATTTCAGAGTGATGAAGAAGGTATCTCTGTCTTGCCTTTACAATTCTGGTTTTCACATCAAGTGATCTTGTTCAAATTCCGCCAACTAACAGTGATTAACACTTGGTGTTGTTGTTCTTGGTTGGTTGGTTGGCTGGTGGTGAGTAACTTTATCCCCTTTGTCTTCTCTACGTTCAATTGAAGTTGTATCTTTGCTGGTTCTTCTTGCAGCAGCCCCCTGTTGGTTTTCATCTGTAGATCTTTGAGTTTGTGTGAAATTAGACGTAAATCGTTCACAAAGTCCAGATATTTTGATTGGACACTAGTCAGTAACTAGTACGACGTGTGTCTAGTCCTTGCTGTTTGGTGCAGCCTGAATTCGATCAGTCAGTCAGCTTTGCAATGTGGCCACCATTCCACTAGGTGGCTCGCCATCACGCTGCACACTGATTTGATGATATTAGATAGTTGGAGGCAATCGGCCACAGGAAGCCTTACCTGACCTAGGTTTCGTGCTAGTTAGTTGGCACTCCCCAGTCAGAAAGACGTATCTGCAATTGCCTTGAAGGAACTCATGTCCTTTCTGAGATTCGAACCCGTGTCACCCATTGCTGCAGTCAGTCAGTCAGAGACGTTACCACTGAGCTATTCAAGGTTGCAGCTGCCAACTAGCATGAAACCTAGGTCAGATAGGGCTTCCTGCCCGCCGATTGCCTCCAACTATCTAATATCATCAAAGTCCAGATATTGTACACTATTTTTATCAGTCCGATGTATTCCTGTCTTCTTGCACTCTCCACGCTCTGTTAAGAATATCATCGGCGATGGTAGGCAGCCTTTTCCTACTTTTGTCTTCAGTTCAAAATCTTCTCTGAGTTTTCTATTACGGACTAGTTGACATTTAGCATTATGATATATCCGCCATTAAAGGCTGATAAATGTGTGGAGTTCATTTATATATATATATATATATATATATATATATATATATAACAAATGAACAGATAAAACTAAAGAATTATGCTTAATAATTGTCCATAATAATAATAATACTCCTTACCTTTTCTTCTGTCTTCATTCTTTTGTTTAGATCCACCTATTTTAGTCCAATTAGTGAAATTCTAAAACATCCAGAGATTGAAAAACGTTTTCTCCGCCTAGCAGATCTACTCCATCAAGTATCACGTGTAAATCAGTAAGAATTCCTTTGCAATCCATGACAATCACGCATACTACTACTACTACTATTTCTACTATCAGTAGACAGAGAAGAATTCAAATTCTGTGGTTTATTTTTTTCTTTTAAAAAGTGCTATTCACCAGTTGATCAGTTCGATATTCAATTATACACCTGTTCAATATTTGTAAATAATAATTTAACAATAACAATAACAGCAACAAAAACGTTTTTTCTTTAAAAAAAAAGTTAAAAATTGCTTCTAATTATTTTTATTCTCATCATTTTCTATGATTATTAAAAAAAACAACAGATTATCATGCATAGACAAAAACACCGAAAATTGTGATCTTTTAACTTGACAAAAATCATGTTATCATGAGAATATACGTCGTTTTCTCCATTGCCTTCTGCTTTTTTCGTTTTTACAAGTGAGACAATTTTATCCTGGTTCTTCCTTGCCCTCTTTCTCCACTCTTATCTCTCCATTTGTACACCTGAAGTAACGAAGTCGAAACGGATTCTCACTGCATTCCTTCTGTCTTTTTCAATCACAGTGCCTTGAATATTATTATTATTATCATCACCATCATTGGTACCACTGTATTCAATTATTATTTACTTCATTATTTGTTAGTTTATTTGCCTACTTTTTTGGCGCTACTTTTAAATTTAAAGCGCTACATTCTGTTTTTTTTTCATACTTCTCTAGCTAAATACAGGACGGTGCTTCAGTATTCTCATATTATCTTCCATAACAACTATTGTTCACTTTTTATCCCACTGATAAAGTTCTAGCTGAAAGGTGGAAGAAAGTCGTTATTATCATTATTATTATTTTTTTTCCTTGACCGAAACAAAGTAAACAAAATATTTATTATCAATAAATTACTTGTTGATTTTCGTGAATTCAATCTATATTACTTATGAGTAGTGTAAGTTTACAAAGTAAATAATTCTGACTAGTTAAAGAGATATTTAGATTATTATTAAACAGACGGTGTGTGACTAATGAATGTTCAACAGTAATCTAAACACACCGGACTGCCGTATGGCTTGTTAAGCTTCGAGCATGTGAGCGCAGGACCTGATTTGGCTCATTTCAGAGACTCGAATTTGATTTATTGTGTTACCAGGTATCCAAATGGTTTGGATGGATTCAACTCCCTGAGCTGATTCAAACCTGGATCACATCGGACGAGCTGGATCCCAAACGGGTAAAATGTCTGCTGGCTAGCTAGTACTACTGGTTGATGTGAGTAGTGTACAACTAGTCAATTAGTGTAGAATATAGGAAATATGTTCAATACTATGAATGCTGTTCTGTGTAACCATAGGCTAGATCGATAGTCTATTAGTCAGAATTAAGATTGTGCAAATCCGACAGTGAACTAATGAGATTCCGTCTCACTGACAGACGCCTACATATTAGTCAAATAATCAACCAATCAGGTTTCACAGTGAGCTGATATCGGTTAGAAAACCATTGGAAAACCTGCATGGAGTACTGGACGGCTGTTTCGTCCTAGTTTGGGACTCTCTAGCAGTACTCACAGACACAGGGGTTCGAACCCAGGACCTTCTAGCTACGACGCTAGTGAGCTTGTAGACCATTAGGCAGACACTGGGACCCGGCTGATCCAATCGCCAGTCCATGAATTCTAACTTCTGCCAGCCAATTCATCACATAGCGCCACCGCTAGCCGATATCTTCGGCGAGTGTTTGCTCTCACACCCGACCTGCTGTACCCTACTGGTGACGGCTTCCCACTAGAAGCCCAGGTAACTACCTACCTGAGTAGGATCGGTCGCTTATTCGCATCTCATTGATGTTCAAGTATTGCTTTGTAGGGATTTGATTGGCTGGTTACAGGATTTTTCATCATGAGCTGATATTGGTTAGAGAACCAATGGAAAATCGACGGGGAGTACTGTACAGACGTTTCATCCTAGTTTTGGACTCTCCAGTCAATCAATCAAATCTTTACAAACGAATACTTGATAATTAGATTTCACTACGTTGACAGCCACTCATTAATCTGCTCAGTACTGCAGTATCTGATTAGTCCGTGATACTTTTTTCTATGAAACATATCAAGTTCCTTCACTGTCACAGGGTTCTTGCTCTGCTTCAAATCACCGAAAATACCCATTGAGTCATGAAGAAAATAAAAGACAGATTCAGCGAAGAAAATTTTCTTTATCGACGAAATCATCTTCAGAGGCTGTACAGTCGTATTTATACTTACAAAAATATATAGTGGTCTATTATTGAGTAATAGGGGGTGACATAATTGATATAATTGCTCAGAAGAGGCTTTAGAAGTGAAAATTAAAAGTTGTAAATTACGTGGTACTCAATGGCACAAAGATAGAAATTTGATAAGGTTAAAATTGCTATTGAGTGAGAATGAAGGTATTTGAGTGTCAATTTAACAAGTGTGAAGAGGGTGTGAAAATATACAAAAGGAGCATATGAGAGTGATAATAGTGAATTAATTATTAAAGCAAAAGCTAACTAAAAGTGAGATTAGAATGAAAAGGAAAAATCAAAATATATTTTATTTACAAGGAACGATTAGTGAAGAGGTTAAGACGAAGGTAGAATGAGAGACTGGACACACTTTTTCTGTATAGAGAGTTCAGGGTTGTATTGATGAATTGCTAGAGCCTTTGCCATACACAAAAGCCGAAACCTGACGCCCTTTGTACCATTTGGCTTCACTTTGTAGATGATCTTGAAAGACGGTTCTGGTGGAGCTATGTGGGCTGAGTTCACTAAATGCTCGAGAATTGAGCTAGTAATTGTCTTACATTGTCCCTTTGCTAGCCATGCCGGATAATGTTCAGAGATGCGTTTGGAAAGCGTGCGCTTTGTGCTGCCAATATAACTAGCTCCACACGAACAAGTGAATTTATAAACACACATTGAGGTGGCCCAAAGCGGCAGTTTATCCTTAACACATCCGTTGATCATTTGTCGGCTGTAGAAAATTTTCTTCGCTGAATCTGTCTTTTATTTTTTCTATGACTTCTGTAATTATAAATTTATAATTACACTTCCACTAACTCGCTCATTTGAAAGGTGACGTTTTCCAAAATTTAATACGTGAGTTTTCTTAAAATAGCCAGTTTGCATGAGGGGACATCTACTAGGCGCTATTGTTAACTTTATTCCTATGAACACTTATCAAACATAACATAAGTACAACAGATGAGATTTCTAATCGTCTAGGAGATTTGAGAACGGTATAGGCTAGTCCGCTTACTCTAACAGTAGTCTCAGTTGTCGCATCATGCATACAGCCTTGTTCTACGCTTATGAAACTCTCCTCTTATAAGTTGATGATTCACTCTGGAGGAGGTTCGCGTTCAATCATCACTTTCTGCGTAGAACTGCGTGTATACGGTGATGTCTTTCTTTGTGTAAGTAACTCTGAGATTTGGTGGTGCATGTTTACAGTGGCAGAAAACGACAAGATTATCTTAGTACATTAGTTTTGCTGGCTTGGCCATGTGCTATCAATATCATCCTAGCGACTTCTCTATCTTTCAGTGTTGACTAGAGAGAGAGCTGTAATGAATTGGCAAAAGCCATGTGATAGGGGGGTGTTAGGGGGACCACCGACATTCTCAGAAATAATAGAAGACATACGTATGCATACTTAGAAAAATAACGTCTTTAGAACTTTTAATCCTCACTCCTGGATTATGGTGGAGATATGTGCATGACACATCCACTGTGTTGAATCCTTCAGTTCCTCACGTATATAATAAACTTAGTGGTAGATGGGATCCAACTCACTTTTGAGTTAGAAAATGAACAAAGTGCTTGATCGTAAAATAAAACGAAAATAAGATGGTGCGTTAGATACTTGTGTTTGTGGGAAATCGGCACATTCTAAAAAATACTTAAACTTTAGTTGAACCCTCCATCCCAGCCCAGAATCAATAGAGGGAGGTATATTTAAATGTCTATGTGATCGGTTAAAGAGCCTAACTAGTAAGCTAGAAGATGTAAATAATGAAATTAAACAAATTAAGAAAATATTATTATTAATATTGTTCCCTTGGGTTCCTAGTGGAACATAGGGCTTCAACTGCACGTCTCCACTTGCTTCTGTCTTCTGCCGTAATTTCCACCTACATCCATGTTATTCCATACTGTTTCAACTCCTCTTCATACGATCTCCTCCATGTCACCCTGGGACGTCCCACTCACCGCTTCCCTTTCGGGTTCCACTCGAGCACTGGCCTGACGCGCGATGTCACCCAACGGCCTTCTCAGTGAGTGTCCAATCCATCTCCACTTTCTCCTGCATATTTGTTGAGCGATTGGTTTTTGTTTTTTTTGTTCCCATAATTTCTTGTTGGTGATTCTTTCCGGCCATCTGATCTTGAGTATAGAGCGAAGATAGCTGTTGATAAAGGTCTGCAACAGGCTGTTGGAAATATTCTTTGTGACCCGCAGGCCAAGTCTCTGATTCGTATAGAAGAACTGACTGACTTGACGTCGTTTGTATTGAAAATCCGAATTTTGTTGTTGATGTTGAGTGACGAAGATTTCCAGATTAGTTTCAGGTTGATGAATGTGTTTCTCGCCTTTCCGATTCTCGATTTGACATCCTCGTCCGTTCCTCGTGTGGTTGAGACAATGCTCCCTAGTTAAGTGAATGAAGTAACCTCTTTCAAATGGTGGCGCTGTATGTTACTGCTCTTGTTGTTGTTGGTGGTGAACCTCGCCTAGATTACTAGCTCGCTAGTTTTCTAGCCGGTGCCAAGCTCGGATAAAGAGGGACGGTTGGGGCTTGGTGCTAGCAACTCCACCCTCAAAACTTAACCAAATTGCTACAGAAACTTCGACGCATAAATATATTAAAAATACTAAAAATAAAGAAAATATTACTAGTAAATAATTAACCATCAACCAGAATTTATTCAGAAATGTATACAGACTCATAAGTAAACTAAGAGTGGTAATGAAAAGGTTGAAAATAACATGAAACTGAAAGTCCCTACACTTCCGTCATAGAACGAAGGAATATCAGAGACCCTACGTAGGATTTCTAATAAGGCTGGAATTAGGGTAGCATTTAAATGAATCAACTTTGTTAGCTTAAGGATCTACCCGATAAGACCCAATTAAAAAAATAATATAATTTACTAAATACCATGTAATGATTGTTAGTGGGGTCAATCACATAGGTCAAACTAATAGATCAGGTTCAATTAGATTATTGGAACATGAAAATTTACCTAAACCAGCTAGAATGTTTGACCGTGCCTACGAAAAAGCCTGTCTATTACACTGCATTCACTTGCATGTAATCACACAATCGGATGGGATACGCTGAAACTACTAAAAAGTAGTATAATTAGGTGGAGAAAGAGAAAGGTTAATCACTTAATCTTTATTTATCGAATCAACTCTGAACGTATGCAGCCGACATGATCGGAAGAATCAATCAACTTCCACGGTGTGGGCAGCCGGGGAGTAACAACCGCCCACACACTTCCAAGAGCACACGAAGCCTACCTGAGCATCACTCTCCACTACTCACATCACCTTCCTCATCTTGCTTCTCTACTACAGCTAGCACTATTCTTCAGGCTAGTGGGTCATCTTCACTTCAATCTATGACCACAAACAATGATGAGAGCCATGGAAACACCCCCGACATCCTCTTAAAGCCACGTCGCTAACTTCATATAGGAGCATTCAACGTCAGGACTCTCTGCCGAATCGGACAACAGGCATCACTAGCAAGAACTCGAGCATCTCGAACCATGCATGTATGTTGTGTTTGGGAGACACGCATACAAGACCCGGGTGTAGTCGTTCACTTAACCTCAGCCGGCCAACAAGGTGAATCTGCAAAATTCGCGAGGACTGGCAGGTGTAGAGATAGCGTTGAGTGTTAGGGCAGAAAAATCCCTTGTTGACTGGATCCCAGTGGACAGTCGCATGTGTGCAGTCCGTCTGAATGGTTCCGTTAGAAGAAGGAAGGACGGCGTTACCCATCGTTTTATTTTCATAGTCTCCCCTTACACCCCAAGAGACTGCAGTTCGGATGAACTAAAAGATGACTTCTACCGGAAACTGTCTAATTTGCCGCAAAAAGCAATACGTTCAGATATACTTGTTTTAGCAGGAGACTGCCATGCCCAAGTAGGGAAGCTGTGCCAAACTATATGTATGGAGGTGGTACGTATGGAGTTCCCTGCCGACGAACCGACAACGATGATTGTCTTCTACATTTCTGTTCAGATAATCATCTCTTCCTAGTAAGCACTAACTTTAGGCACATTTAGTTAATTCAAGACATTAAGCTGCTTTTGAAAAGTCCTTCAAAGTCATATACAAGTTCCTATCAAGCCTATCAAAGGGATTGAAATCAAGGCATCTAGGAATAGCTGGAGCACTAGCGATCGAAAAACTCAAACCCATTCTATGTGTTCAAAAGAAATACGTCCAATCGTTGTCTCTACACTGGCCATCATGAAAAGTCAGTCCCACCAATGATGATTATCCACTTACCTTTCTTGTTCAACCTTCTTGTTTATTTCTCTTATTTTTACGTTTTTAATTCCTTTCTGCAATGCTAGATTTGGTTGCTGTCTTTTATTTTTATATATATCCGAACTTCCTACATATTTGTTATTACTACGTCCTTAATCCGTAGTTTGTGCAAACAGTCAAGTAATTATGATCTAACTGTCTCTGTAACGACTACTTTGCTACTACGGGGTGCCCCCGACAGTTATGCATCTCATCCAACATTTGTACGACAATGTTGAATTCCAAGTAATCCACAACGGGAAACTCATGGAATCCTTCGAAGTGAAGACGGGAGGCTGGCTGGCTGCCTAATATCTCCAATGATTTTCCTGATTGCAGTAGATTGGATAATGAGACAGACAGCGGGCAGTGAGGGAACAGGCATAAAATGGACCCACTCAAAAAACTTGGAGGATCTGGACTTCACCAATAATATATATGTTGGATTTCTCACAAAATGGAAGATATGCAAGTGAAAAGCAACAAGTTGGAGATGGACGAAGCATCAAAGATAGGACTTCAGTTTAGGTGAATATAGAGAAAACAGAGATGATGAAGATTTCTGGTCAACAAAAACAGCAACAACAACAGATGACAATCAGCATAAATGGGAGGAATTTGAAAAAAGCAACCTTCTTTATCTATCTACTTGGGAAGCATCGTTTCAACTACAGGTGGAACTGACGAGGATGTCAAAGCGAGGATCGGGAAAGCAAGACAAGCTTCCATTACTCTCAAATCTGTGGGGGGATGAACAGCACTCAGCACAAAAAATAAGATCCGGATTTTCAACTCCAATGTGAAGTAAGTGCTACCATACGGATCAGAGACTTGTACTGTGTGTCACGAAGGGTGCTTTGAATAAACAACGGACTTTCATCAACAGCTGTTTTCGCTGAATACTCAAGATCAGATGGCCAGAAAAGATCGGCTACAGGGATCTCTGGAAGCGAACCAAACCGGCAGGAACCAATTGTGCAACAAATATGCAGCAAGAAATGGAGGTGGATTGGCCATACTCTGAGGAAACCATCAAGTGAGTAGTGACATCGATCACACGCCATACCATCACTCGAGTGGAACCTGAATGGGAAGCGGCGAGTTAGTTTGTCGTCAGTGTGAGGGTGACATGGAGGAGGTCATGTGAAGAGGAGATGAAAGCATGTGGGCAGATGTGGAGCCAGGCGATGAAAACGTTGGCAGAGAACCGAACGCAATGGAGACGTGTGTCTGAAGCCCTATGTTCCTCTAGGAATTAAAGGAAACAATAATAGTAATAATGTCTCTATTACGCTTAGTAGTTCTATCAGTTTGACCTTTGACTTGAAATATTTCTAGAATAGTACCACTACCTATCTTGTGTTTATTACACTTAGTAATTTTATTAATTTAACCATTGACCGGAAATAATTTGGGAACTTTCTCCCACACATTTACTACTACAAAATACACGAATATACAGCTGTCTAGTTGATGACTTCATCGAAAAGAAAATCTGCTTTGCTGCAGTTGGCTTTTTAATATCAATAATTCATTAAACAAGAAGGTTATATACAGCGAGAGAATCACAGAATACAATGAAAGACAAACAAATCTCACACATTTTCTATTTCTTTATCTTTTAGATTGTACATCTACTATTATTAATTTGCCAGAGAATGTCATCATTAGTAATAATTAAAAGTGATTCATTTTGATCGAAACAGTTAAAAGCACAGAGAGAAGGGAATTTTTAAGCGAAATGCTTAACTTTATATCTTTGTTCTGTTCATTGAAATACGATTAGACAAAATAGTCAAGTAATGTAAAGCGAAGTAAGCTGATAGATACTATTCATTCAGATCTGATGTGAGATAAAGGCTGTGTGATATGAATGTGAAGTCAGAAAAGAAGTCAGTCACAACAGTCGACAGTCACCATTTATTTTTCTCCTGTACAAGAGTACATTTCATTCGGGATAGATTACGTGTAACCATTTCTGACACTGTAAGGTGATATAACCTGTGACAGAAAATAAAAAGAGAAGAGAGAAATTAAGCGAATGAATTAAGTGGATTTTTAAGGGGTTAATTCGTATTTCCCCTTGGCTGATTGCATAATAGTTATGTGTTATGATTATTATTATTCCCTTGGGTTCCGAGTAGAACATAGGGCTTCAATAATATTTTGTCTATTTTGTCCGATTTCGTGCTGTTCTCTTCAGCTGGTTGACCACACGATTGCCCATAATCTCTCATTTTCTATAGTTTGGTTTGTAAGGGTTTGTTATGTTTTTACGAGTTGATCACGGACTGATATCAGTTAGAGAACCATTGAAAACCAACCAGGGAGTACTGGACAGCTGCTGTTTCATCCAGCTAGTTTGGGAATCATCGGCAGGACGTACCGACTGGGATTCGAACCCAGGATCTTCCGGTTACAAGGCAAGCTGGCTCGTATACCATTCAGCCACTCACCGGGACCCGATTCAATGGCCAGCCCATGAATTCTAACTTCTACCAATTCGTGATTTAGCGCGACCCCAACCATTGTCGCAGCTGTCCAGTACTCCCTGGTTTTCAATGGTTCTCTAACTGATATCAATCCGTGATCAACTCGTAAAAATCTCTCATTTCCTCCTCCTCCTCCTCCTCCTCCTCACCGAACGATCTGCTCGATGTCACCCTCGCATTGATGACCCACCCGTCGTTTCCTATTCGTATTCCAGTCGATGGTCTGGACTGCGATATCATTTGACAATCCCCTCAGCTTATGCCCAATCTATCGCTATTTTCCCCTACATATTTGTTGCAGGATAGATTCTTGATTGGTTTGTTCATCGCCAGAGTTTCTTCTCGCTGATTCTTTCTGGCCGGCTGGCTGGCCATTTGGCCTTCAGTATGAAGTTGACGAAGGTAGCAGCAGCAGTTGATCGAAGTCTGTAACTTGTTGGAAATGCTTTCCGTGACAAGCTGGCCAAGAACAGACTGACTGACTGACTTCACTGACATTGTGTGTGTTGAAAATCCGAATAGATCTTGTTTTATATGCTGGCTGAGTGAAGCAGAAGATTTCCAAACTGCTTTCAGGTTGATGAAGGCGTCTGTCTTGCCTTTCCAATTCCGTCTGTCTGTCTGTCTGGCTTTGACATCTTCATCCGTGCTGTCCAACCACTGCGTGTGGTTGAAACCGTTCTCCCTCGGTGAAATCTCTCCCGTCGACGTTGACTGGTGCTGACTGTTGTTGTTGTGATGGTGGTGGTGGTGGTGCGTGGGCATCTTCATCACCTCCGTCTTCTTTATGTTCAACTGGAGTCCTCTCTTCGCTGCTTCTTCAGCCAGAAGCTCGCCTAGTTTACTAGCCCGCTATTTTTCTAGCCGGTTCCAAGTCCGGGTTAAGAGAGGGAGGGTTGAGCGTAGTGCTATTAACCCTACCCGACAAAACCATTCAAACTGCTAGAAACTGATAGAAACCTCAACGCACAACAAAAATATTGATATATATACATATATATTGGAGAGAAACGCTCAGTTTCTGTGTTTATTTGTCGTCCCCTAGTATGGATTAATTTCGCTTGATGGTGACCACCAGTGGAATTCAATAGATACGCGTTTCGTCCCATTTTGGACTCGACACCGAATACACCTGCATTCCCCAGTGAGTGATGTCGTTCCCACTGAAACTTAAGCCCAGTACCCATCATTTCAAACTTTGAAGCCTTGTGCACTGGACAGTTTGGGTCACGAGAGCAATTTATTATGAAACGGCTTTCAGTTATAATTTGTTTTTATGCTAATACACACAAATAAAAAAAACTCGGCGAATTATTCGAAGTGAAGACAGCAGTAAGACAAGTTTGCCTAATAACACCCACAATAATATTCATAATCGTGGTGGACTGGGCCATGCAAAAGGCTGTGGGGAGTGCGAAGATAGGAATACGTTCGATCGGTAACAAGACACTAGAAGACATGAACTTCCAGGACGATCTATGTCTAATGTCACGTTTCTTGAAAATCTACAAGCGAAAACCGAAAATCTGCAGAAGAAGAAGCAGTAAGGGCAGGAATTCAAGCGAAAATAGAGAAGACAGATGTAATGAAGATACCCAGTGTGAATTTCTCCCGAAAGAAATCCGAAATGATAATCCAAACTATAGATTTAACCACACGTAGAGTGACGCGTAAAGTCCGAAATACAGGATATTCTGCAATACGGTACTTTATTACATAAAAATAGATATATAATATACAAACCTCAAAATGTGAGGTGTCTGTGGCTAAATGCCGTCAAATGCACAACCACTGTGCAGTCAATAAATAAAAACAGCAATGCTGTGTCAAGGTGGTCGATCCACGTGTCGGTTCAAACGGCCCGCGAATGCCAAGCAAAGAATAAGCAAATATGAACAAACAACTTTCAGTAGTAAAGCATACACTATAGGGTAAGGTCAGCAAATAATGTTTAAGGAGAAGAAAAATAAGAACTATACATTAATAGAATGATAATAGAACAAGTAATTTAACAGCAGTTGAAAGCAAATGTCATTGTTATAAATTAACATATAATAATCATACTACTTACTAATGGCAAGTAGTATAATGTTGAACAAAGGAAAGATTGAGAATGAACAGGTAAGAAAGGAATTAACACCCAGCGACCGACAACAATGATAACGACAACAACAACAAGAAGCATCAATCACTATCAACGGGAGAAATCTAAAAGTAGTCACCTCCAAGCAGCATCGTTTCAGCTATCCCAGCGGTATAGATGAGTACTTTGAAGGCAGAATCAGAAGAGCACGGCACACCTTCATTACTTTGAGATTAGAACATGATCTGAATTTTCAAAATCAATGTCAAATTAGTACTTCTGTGTGGTTCAGAGACTTGATGCGCTCAATACGGAAATCATTTTCAACAGGGTGCTGCAGACTTTTATAAATAGATACCTTTTCTAATTCACTGCTGGAGATTGGGTGGCCAGCTGAAATCGATAAGCAACAAGAGACTCTAGCAGTTTAGAGAAGTAGACAAGAGGCTGTCTCTGGACAAATATTTAAGAGGAAACGGAGGCGGATTTGATGTACGTTGAAGCGACATTCAAGTGATATCAAACGACACGTAAGACGTCGTTTTTAAACCGAGTAAGAAGCGACGAGTTAGGCGTCCGAAGATGATATATGCTGAAGATCATTTGAGGGTGAACGGGAGATAAAAGCTAGCAGGGAACCTAGTACATTAGGGAGAGGTGCCACTGAGGCCCCGTTTTTCTTCTCAGAAAGCAATGAATGTGCAACGGAAAAATATCAGTAATAATTCACACTAATAAAGCTTCTGCACATGAACCTATTTTCTCTATCAATTTCATCAAGTGAATGGTTTGCTGAAAGGTACTACGTTCCCAGGAAATTTCCGTGACAGATTGACATCGGTTAAAGATTTGGTAGTAGCTAATGAGAATGTAGTGCGTTGGTGGCACAGCGGTAGAATGATCGCCGGCCACATCTCACATGGTTCGGAGTTCGATTCCCGGGCACCGACTTACTCCTCCTTTACCTCGCCAAACCAGTAATATGACTGATAAAGAGGGAAGGTTGGGCATGAGGCTGGCAACCCCATCCCGTAGGAATAAACGCCATTGCTACCGATACTTCAACCCTCCAGTTTGAAGCCCTATGTTCCACTGGGAGCATAAAGGAATAAATAGAAATATAATGAGAATGTATCAGCCTTTTTTGTTAAAACGTAGAACTCTGTATTATTCCACCCATAATCCAACCTAAGACTAGGTTAAAAAATTGACGTCTCTTTTAAAAAACCCGCAAATTTGTAACATAACGTGATCATTTTGACTCTCTCACACCTCTAATTAACATATTTTAGTCAGTATGATTTGTCACTTCCAGTATGAATGAGTAGATCATTCAAAAAACAAAAAAATGACTTTGTTATAACATTATTATTATTATTGTTCCTTTGGGTTCCTAGTGGAACATAGGGCTTCAACTACACGCCTCTACTTGCTTCTGTCTTCTGCCGTACTTTTCACCTGCATCCATGTTATTCCATACTGTTTCAACTCCTCCTCACACGATCTCCTCCATGTCACCCTGGGACGTCCCACTACTCACCGCTTCCCTTTCGGGTTCCACTCGAGCACTGGCCTGACTGACGCGCGATGTCACCCAACGGCCTCCTCAGCTAGTGTCCAATCCATCTCCACTTTCTCCTGCATATTTGTTGAGCGATTGGTTCTTGTTTTGTTTCTTCCCATAGTTTCTTGTTGGTTCCTGTTCTTTCCGGCCATCTGATCGTCAGTAGAATAGAGCGAAGATAGCTGTTGATAAAGGTCTGCAACAGGCTGTTGGAAATAAATATTCTTTGTGACCCGCTGGCCAAGTTTCTGATCCGTATAGAAGAACTGACTGACTTGACGTTTGTATTAAAAATCCGAATTTTGTTGTTGATGCAAGCTGAGTGACGAAGATTTCCAGATTGGTTTCGGGTTGATGAATGTGTTTCTTGCCTTCCCGATTCTCGATTTGACATCCTCGTTCGTTCCTCCTGCCTGTAGTTGAGACAATGCTCCCAAGATAAGTGAAAGAAGTAACCTCTTTCAAATCCCTCCCGTTGATGGTGATTGGCGCTGGATGTTGCTGATGCTGTTGGTTGGTTGGTTATTTTCATAACCTCCGTCTTGTCTATGTTCACCTGGAGTCCTGTCTTCTCTGGCTGCTTCTTCGACGAGTTTGTCGGTTTTCGCTTGTAAGTCTTCGATTTTGTGTGCCATCAAACATAAATCATCTGCGAAATCCAGGTCTTCTAGGTTCTTCACGTCGGTTCAGGATATCCCTGTCTCCTCGTTTCCCACTGTCTGACGCATAATCCAGTCCACCACAATTAGGAATATCATTGGTGATAATAAGCACCCTTGTCTGACTCCTGTGTTTACTCCAAACGCCTCACTGAATTTTCCGTTGTGGATCACTTGACATGTGCCGTTGTCGTACAGTTGTTGAATAAGGTTGGTGAATATTTGGGGTACGCCATAGTACTCGAGTAGTTTCCAAATTACTTTACGGTCAACGCTGTCGAAGGCCTTCTCAGAGTCTATAAAGTTGAGGTAGAGATTTGATTGCCATTCCATGCTTTGTTCGATGATAATGCGTAGAGTTGCAATTTGGTTAACATTACACGGATGCAAATTGATCAGCCTGAGTATTATTACATTATTATTGTTTTTACTTCCTTGGATTCGCAGTGGAACATCATAGGGTGTCAATGGAACATCTCCATTTCATCCTCTTCTATTCAATCAATGACTGCAAACAGATTCTCATCTCCTCTTCATAGTATCTCTTACATATCACTCCCAGACGTCCAGCTCGTTGTTTCCCATTCAGCTTCCACTGGAGCACCTGAGCGTATGTCGGATTCATCTACATTTCCTTTGGGATATTTGTTGAGCAATAGATTCTTGGTTGGTTCGTTCTCACAGAGTTTCTCACTTCTGATTCTTTCTGATCAGTTATCTGATCTTCAGTATGGAGCCGGTGAAGTTGGCTGTTGATAAACATCGGAAGTGGCCTGTAGGAAATGGTTTACTCGACGCCAGTGCCAAGTTTCTGATCCACGTAGTTGAAGAGACTTAACATTAGTGTTGAAAATCTGAATTTTGTTCTTCTTAGCTGAGTGCGGCAGATTTCCACACCGATTTCAGAGTGATGAAAGTCACCGTCTTACATTTCTGATCCTGGTTTTGACAACCTCATCCACGCCGTATATAGTGTAAACGATACTGCCTAGTTGAGTTAAACAGATGGCTTCCTTCAAATTTTCTCCACTGATGGTGATTCATGCTTCTTGTAGTTGGTTGGTTATCTTCATCACCTTCGTCTTCTCTGTGCTTACTTGAATTCGTCCCTTTTCTGTCAGCCTCTTCTGTCAGCCTGTGGGTTTTCACCTGTAAGTCTCCCAGTTTGTGTGACATTAGGCGTAAATCGTCCGCTAAGCCCAAATCTTCTAGGGTCTTCTTATCGGCCCAACGTGTTCGTATTTTCTTGCCCCCCCCACATTCCTCAGCATAATCCAGTCCCCCTCCGGATTTTTTTTTATTCCTTCACGTTCCCAGTGGAACATAGGGCTCCAAGCTAGAGGCTTGAAGTTTCTGTAGCAGTGGTGATTATTTTTACAGGATGGGGTTGCTAGCCAGCCTCATGCCCAACCTTTCCTCTTCACCAGTTTTAGTTCTGGCTTAGCGAGGTAAAGGAATGCGGCCAGTGGCCGGGGATCGAACCCCGGACCATGTGCATGGTCGGCAATCGTCCTAACCGCTATGCCACCGACGCACCCCCCCCATTCGGATTACTTATCACTAACTATGTCAGTAGTGCCAAATTATATTGGTCTCTGTTAGCGGGATGCTTGAAATGAAAACGATGAGTTGGACGTCATTTCAAGTGTGGCATGAAGGAGATCGCGTGAGAAGAAGACCAGAATGCAGGATGAAGTGGCGATGTGCTGTTGAAGCCCTATGTACCACTCACAACCTAAAAAATATAATAATAATAATAACAATAATAACGGGATCCAAATAAACTATTTAAGTACTTCACTCACCATAGATTCTCTTAAAAGACTTCGGTTTCGATTTCCATACAATACCAATTAGGTAAACTGGTATACCAGAGAGAACAATTACCAGACCAATCAATACTTCTTTAGGCGTTTGAAATATTGGCATAATAATCAGAAATAAACATACTAGCAAGAATGTGATTGGAATGATTAACGGTAAACAGATTGGTCTAGGAATATCAGGTTGACTGTAGCGGAGATATATCATACCTTACAATAAAAAAAAGAAGAGAAGGTGTGAGTTGGGGGAAAGAAGTATGGATGAGAGATTAACAATACGCACACACGCACACACACACACACTTACAGAGAAAATGCATATAACACAATGATCAGCGTTCATATACTAGGTGAAATATTCCTAATGCGATCACCAATTTGAAGTTATTATCATTATTATTATTATTATTCTGAATTTAGCCTCGAATAGTTATATTGGACAGAAGTATTCCGTCTGTGTTGGCACGGCGGTTCCTAGTGAGGATGCTCTGATGTTGCCTGGAGATCAAGTTGATGTTATTTGGTTGGTAGTGATGATTAATGGTATCCAGGATGTTCACGTCGTCCTACCTCTAACTGACTGACTGGTTTCAACGTAGAACTTTGCACCGATGTTCAGGAGTTCGAGTCGCCACACTTCACTCAGCACACAGGAAGAGAAGAGAGTAAAAAGGAACGCAAAACAGAGACAGTAAACACAGATATGAGGCAAAAAGAATAATAATATCGAAGTAAAATGTTGTTTTATTGGAAATTATAAGTCACAAGGAGTGGAAGCATCTGCGCCAGACATTGAGAACGACGATTTCGAGCATTATCACCAATTGTCTCCAGCCTTCATTGGTTTTTACCAGCCTGAGGACCCCAACCAGGCAGTCAGGCAGTCTACACCTTCATCAATACAACCCTGGACTCTGTATACAGAAAAAGTGTGTCCGGTCTCTCATTCTACCTTGGTCTTAACCTCTTCACTAATCGTTCCTTGTAAATAAAATATATTTTGATTTTTTCTTTTCATTCTACTTTCACTTTTAGTTAGCTTTTGCTTTAATAATTAATTCACTATTATCACTCTCATATGCTCCTTTTGTATATTTTCACACCCTCTTCACACTTGTTAAATTGACACTCAAATACTTTTATTCTCATTTAATAGCAATTTTAACCTTATCAAATTTCTATCTTTGCGCCATTGAGTACCACGTAATTTACAACTTTTAATTTTCACTTCTAAAGCCTCTTCTGAGTAATTATATCAATTATGTCACCCCTTATTACTCAATAATAGACCACTATATATTTTTGTAAGTATAAATACGATTGTACAGCCTCTGAAGACTTAGACTTTAACTCATCCCATCCAAAATCGGTAAAGATGGGTTTAGTTAAGTGTCAGGCTAGGAACCTCACTAGTAAACCAGAAGATTTCAATAATGAAATCAAACAATATAAGGAAAAAATCACTGGGGAATAACTAAATGCCCAGCAGAATTTATTCAGAAATGTATGAAGAACCACAGAAAAAGCAAGACTAGCAGTGAATTTCATAAAAATAACATAAATAATAGAGAATTCAAAGCCTCCAAAGAACTGCCATGCAAAGAAGGAACATCAGAAGCTGTACATAGGCTTCTTAATCAGCCTCGAATTAGGATGGTATTTAAACCAACCAACCAACCGATTCTTTCAGAGATAAACTTTGTCACCTTAAGGAAGATATGGAAGTGTGGAGATCAGCAGCACTCAGCATGGAAAATAAGATCTGGATTTTCTTTTCCAACGTGATAATTACTACACGGATCAGAGACTTAGCGCGTCACGTAGAGCGTCACTTCCATCAAACTACAGATCTTCACCAACAGCTGTCTTCGCGCAAGATCAGATGGCCAGAAATGACCAGTAACAGGGATCTCTGGCAATGAGCGAACCAACACAGCAGGAACCGATTGTGAAACAAATATGCGGGAAGAAATGGAGATGGATTGGCCATACTCTGAGAAAACCATAAAGTGACATCATATGATAGGCCATCTCTCGAGTGGGACCCAAATGGGAAGCGGCGAGTCGGTTGTCAGTGCGAGGGTGACATGGAGGAGGAGGTCATGCGAAGAGGAGATGAAAGCATGTGGGCAGATGTGGAGCCAGGCGATGAAAACGTTGGCAGAGAACCGAACTCAATGGAGACGTTTGGCCGAAGCTCTATATTCCTCTATGAATTAAAGGAAATAATAATAAGGATCCGCCCGGTAAGTTCCAATTAAGAAAAATAATCTAATTTACCAAATACCATATAATGTGGTCAATTACATAGGTCGCACTGATAGGTCGGTTTCAATTAGATTATTGGAACATAAAAATTTATTTAGACTAGCTAGAATTATCGATCCTGCCAGATTAAATAACCCAGAAAACAGCTCAACCCTTGTAATGCATTCACTTGCACAAAATCTCACAAAAGAATGGGCTAGGATGAAAGTATTTAAAAAAGGAATTTTGTTAGTTGAAGAGGAAGGTTAATCACTGAATCTGTGTCAGACATTTGGCACTCGCATCACAGAAAGCATTTCTAAAAGGATTCTGTACACTTTAATCAACAGCTGCCTTCTGTGCTATGCCTCCATAATGAAGGTTGCGTGGCAGATCAGAAGGAATAAGCAAAACAAGAAACTGTGGAAACGAACCAATCAATGACGTACTGCTCAAAAAATATTCCGAAGAAGATGGAGGTGGATCGGACACACATTGAAGAGACCGTCAAATGATATCGCTCCCCTGGATCTTGAGCAGAAGTCGAATAAGGAGAAACAGCGAGTTAGTTGTCCGATGGTGGTGACATGTTCATGTGTGGGGAGGAGATGATAGCCTATGCTAAATACTACGGCCAACTAAATAAGCCAAAAACTGTAGACAACAATTTACTTCAATGTTCACCTCCCGAATCGGGATCATGAGAAAAAAACAACAACAATAACAAAGTTTAACCTTGAGGAACTCACCAACCAGTCACAGAAGACTTAACGTGTGCAAATACGATTCACAGATATAAATGGCTCAACTTTCTGAGAAACGGTCACAAGCAGTACAGAATAGCCGTCAGCAAGAAGATAACCAATCAGAAGAGGTTGCTTCTCTGCTAACAATAACACTAATAATAATAATGCACATTTGTGATGATATTAGATGGTTGTAGGCAATCGGCCACAGGAAGCCTTGGACCTAGGTTTCGTGCTAGTTGGCACTCTTCAGCAAGGCTGACTGATAGAATTCAGTCTGCACCAAAGAGAGGACTGGACGCACTAGTTACTAGTGTCAAATCAAAATATCCACTACAGTCCTACAGGAGGTCAATCGCGAGCCCGAACAGCTGGCTCAGTGGTAACGTCTCTGACTGACTGCAGCACTGGGTGACGCGGGTTCGAATCTCAGAAGGGACATGAGTTCCTTCAAGGTTGCAGATACGCCTTGCTGAAGAGTGCCAACTAACTAGCACGAAACCTAGGTCAGGCAAGGCTTCCTGTGGCCGATTGCCTCTAACCATCTAATATCATCACAAACAATGTACACCGTGATGGCGAGCTACCTAGAATGGTGGCCACATTACAACCTGACTGATAGAATTCAGTCTGCACCAAAGAGAGGACTAGTTTCTAGTGTCAAATCAAAATAATGCACATTAAAATCTATAAATATCTGTTGATTTTCTCAATAAACGATTTGTTGCCTGACTCTTGTCTTCTGTCGTTACAAGACTACTGAGAATAGGGCGAAATGCAGACGTGCTCATGAATCCTTATGTTCCGCTGACATCCTTAAGGAATAGCAATAATGATCCAACTTGAAGAATCTTCAATGGAAAACTGATCAGGAAGGATATAATTAATGGCTCCAGGAAAACCCACCTAACGGTTCCCAGTGTCTAACACAAAATTGAGGTTATGCTAGTTAGTATATCATGACAATTATCTCAGCGAACACACAACATACTTTGAAGGAATTTTTGGTGGTTGGTAATTAGTAATGGAATCCAAGATGTGCATTTTGTCCCACTTAGAACTCGTTAGTTGGGTGCGCGTCTGCATTCCCCGATGAGTGACGATGTTCCCACTGGGACAGGAATCTAGTAGCCATCGTTTCAAACACCAAAGCCTTATCCAGTAGACCACTTTGGCCACAAGAGTGACCTCTTGTCAAATGAGTATCAGTTATCATTTATTTTGAGGTTAATATGCATTTCCTATTGATAGTGTTTTTTTTTCGCTTGAAACTATGATAACTGGGTTCACGCCTCCAGGGGGGAGGGAAACCATCACCATCGGTGAGGAATGCAGGTACATCTAGCTGAGGCGAATCACAAATAGGACAAAGTGAGCATCCTTGATTTCGCCGCATCCACCGACATTATCGGTCAATGGGGAAAATTAAAATCGACTTGAAAGTAAATGAAAACACTGAATACTTTTGTTAATTCCTTTCCTACCTGTTCATTCTCAATCTTTCCTTTGTTCAACATTATACTACTTGCCATTAGTAAGTAGTATGATTTTTATATGTTAATTTATAAAGATGACATTTGCTTTCAACTGCTGTTAAATTACTTGTTCTATTATCATTCTATTAATGTATAGTTCTTATTTTTCTTCTCCTTAAACATTATTTGCTGACCTTACCCTATAGTGTATGCTTTACTATTGAAAGTTGTTTGTTCATATTTGTTTATTCTTTGCTTGGCATTCGCGGGCCGTTTGAACCGACACGTGGATCGACCACCTTGACACAGCATTGCTGTTTTTACTTATTGACTGCACAGTGGTTGTGCATTTGACGGCATTTAGCCACAGACATCTCACATTTTGAGGTTTGTATATTGTATATATCTATTTTTATGTAATAAAGTACCGTATTGCAGAATATCCTGTATTTCGGACTTTACGCGTCCGTCACTCTACGTGTGGTTAAATCTATAGTTTGGATTATCGTTTCCGATTTCTTTCGGGAGAAATTCACAACTTTATTGAGACATTTACTCCAGCATCTCTAGACAAACAACTGCACCCCAATGATCAGTGGTCAATTTATTCACATTGTACAATCTCAAAAAGGAATCAGTCGTGACATAGATATGATATGTCGACAAATAAACAATGGATTATCCTTTATTAGTGTGATATGGTAGTCAATATTCAGTCTGGAAATCAACCAATCAGAATTGGCCTACATTAAAAATAACGCCCACTATTCTTTTTTCATTACGACGACAGACTGATTGATTGACGTATATCCATGGTGATATTTTGAATCATAAATTATTGTGTCAAGCTTACTTTCCGACTCACATCGTTGTGTGTGTTCTCGTGAAATGGGAGAAATGGGTAGCTGTCGTACAGTGTTGCTGGCATAGTCAAGCGGTATTCATAATCAGACTGCTCAGTCTGTGTCTAACTACTAGGGGCACCTACTTCAACTCAACGGTTTGCAAAAAAATATGATATTTGGCGACAGGGATAGGATGGCTTTTGGGAGTGTCACTGTGTGTGTGTGTGTTGTTGGCTAAAACCTACTCTTTGTGTTCAACATTATTGCAGTGTTGGCACCAAATGGAGGTTTCATCTTTAGGCGTCGATTGGTATTGCATGATTAACTGGGACGATGGATGCTTGAGATAAATAAGACTAGGTAATGTGGCGCTAGAGGTTGATGCAGAGGTTTCAGGAGGTCTGGCAAGAAATGAAGGCTGAAAAGGGTTTCTTTCACTCTAAACCATCTTGTTTAATACAATACTTATAAATAACATTGATAAATAACAATAATAGGAAAGACAGTATGCAGTGTATGCAACATACCCAAAATACTCGCAGCAATAGATAACCATTGAACAAATGAAACATAATTGATAAGGGCGAATAGATCAGTAACAACAAGCATTAATAAACCAAGTAGTGAATTTAAAAGGATGGATGGTAACGGTGTAAGACGTTTAGCATGAATAGTAGCCAACAGCGCAGGAAGTTGACCTTCTCTAGCTGCAACAAAATTAAGTCTAAAACAAAGGGGAAAACACAGAAAACACAGACTTTAGAAAAACAAAACTATACTTCAAAGACTAGATTATATCACGAGTCAGTTTCTTTTTCCTACAAGATTACGGTGATGAACATGGAAGTTTCAGTACATAATGTAGATGTTTACGACCTATCCCACGCAAGACACTGATGAGAACTGATTTGCCTCTCATCTATCAGGACTTCATTCGATTGTAACGACAGAAGACAAGAGTCAGGCAAAAGATCGTTTATTGAGAAAATCAACAGATATATTTATAGATCTTAATGTGCATTATTATTATTAGCGTTATTGTTAGCAGAGAAGCAACCTCTTCTGATTGGTTATCTTCTTGCTGACGGTTATTCTCTACTGCTTGTGACCATTTCTCAGAAAGTTGAGCCATTTATACCTGCGAATCGTATTTGCACACGTTAATTCTGCTGTGACTGGTTGGTGAGTTCCACAAGGTTAAACTTTGTTATTGTTGTTGTTTTTTTCTCATGATCCCGATTCGGGACGTGAACATTGACGTAGATTGTTGTCTACAGTTTTTGGCTTTCAGTCCGCTCTCACCACACTATGTATGATACGGCGTATTATTATTATTATTACTAAATCTTTGCTTTTCGAATGGAACATACGGCTTTAAAGGCACATTCTCATTTCATTTGGTTATGTTTATCATCAGTTTTTAACCGGCTGTACAACTCACCACAAGTTTTGTCTCGTCTTTTTCATATAATCTTCCTCATATCACACTTAGACACACGACTAACTCATCACTTCCTATTCGGGTTCCACTCGAGGAGCAACCTGAATTGTGATGTCACTTCAGTATCTGTCTCCACAGTGTATGTCCAACTCACCTTCACTTTTTTCTGCATATCTGTTGGCCTACAGGTTCCTGGTTGGTTAATTGTCAGAGTTTATTGTTGATCATCCTTTCTTTGTGGTCGTCTGATCTACGAAAGCCTGTAGGAAATGCAGTTGGTTATGCTCGCGCTAAGTTTCTGAACCACATAGAATCAATAAAGTGATACTGTAACAGCAGAAGGCAAGACACGGAAGCACAGGTATATTTTCAAGTGATCAAACCGCTATTTATATCTATACAGTTTATATTCTTTGTGCATTTATTCCCCTTGATGAATTTAAATAAAGCAAGAACAACAGCGGTTTGTGCAGAATAATATGGTACCATCATTTATTTCGTTGGCTTCTCATCAGCTGCTTACAGCCTAAATAAATTGTGAGGTTTACGTACAGAAAAGTTTTTTACATACTTGCAAATTTTACATGTTGTCAGTTGACAGAAGATTCCACAATAAGTGAACAGTGCTCAGAAAATTGCGCTTATATAGTTTTTTCACAAGCAGTTCAAGTTTAAACAAAATAGATGTATGCATACAATGGTAAAAGAGTTACGTAATAAAGACGAGAGGTGAGTAAGATGATGAGTAACTAATAAATTTTGTAACGATGTACTGAGTTCAAATCACGTCATAGAAACAAGAGACAAGCAATATTACAGATTTCAAAAATAAAAAATAAAACAAAGGAGGGGTGAGGTTAAAGACAAAGATTACGTAATCAGATTAGAGAATAAAGACATCCAGTTACCATGGCAAGGAAAGACTAATAACTGCTTCTTTCTGAACACATAAATCTGGTTTGAAGCGTTTGATAGAAATTGCTTCGGCAAACTTGAGGAGAATGGAGCTCCTTTGTCTATTGATAATTTTAAAGGATTTCTCGATTTCCACCTCATGACCCGTGTCGAGGAGATGTCTGGCGATGGCACTGTTTGAAGAATTTGTTCCCTTTAGACGTAAGCTTTTTGGTACATGTTCAGAAAATCGTAGATATGCCCTTCTTTCTGTCCTTCCAATGTAACTGCTCCCGCAGATGCATGTAAATTTGTATATGCAGTTGGAGTTCACATGAGAGGGATATCTATCGATTTTTGATTGCACCAAAAAGCAAGTTGTTTGATAGACGGGAACGAGCTTGGCTGCAGGATAGGCTATAGCTAGTGATATACTCAGCCTTCTGTTGATCATCGCTGTAATGTTTTCACCTTTATAATCAAGCTGAAAGTAGATTGGCTTTTTTTCCACTGTGATTTGTTTTACATTTTTGACTTCAGATCTTCCATACTTGTTGATGAACCTTTGAGGGTATCCATTTCTCTTCAATGTCTTTTCAAGAAACTCAAATTCTTCCTCTAATTTCTCTATAGAGCATATTCTTCTCGCTCTATAGTACAGAGTCTTGACTAGACCGCGTTTAAAGCTATTTGGACAAAAGCTATTGAAATGTAAGTATTGTCCTTTCCATGTAGGCTTTCGATAAATTGACTTTTGAAGACTACCGTCTTCTAGGCGTTCCATGGCAATGTCGAGGAAGTGAAACTTTCCGTCACTTTCATGTTCCATAGTAAACTCAATATTTCTGTGTGCATCATTGAATAATCCGAGTAAGTGTGAAGCATGACTTTCATTGTTGCACACTATAAATGTGTCATCAACATATCGACAGTAGGAATTTGTTTCGTCGATTGCATGCTTCAACTTTGTTCTTTCAAGGTTGGACATGAATATATCTGCTAAAACAGGGCTAAGTGGACTGCCCATGGCTACACCATCAATTTGGCGGTAAAGAGTGTTGTCAAATTGGAATTGCACATTGCATTGTGGAATCTTCTGTCAACTGACAACATGTAAAATTTGCAAGTATGTAAAAAACTTTTCTGTACGTAAACCTCACAATTTATTTAGGCTGTAAGCAGCTGATGAGAAGCCAACGAAATAAATGATGGTACCATATTATTCTGCACAAACCGCTGTTGTTCTTGCTTTATTTATATTCCTTAACCAATCACTGAGCGTGTGACTTTGCCCTACATTAAACGACATGAAATTTAATGTTCAGATACATATATTATTCTGTTTCTAATGCAATATTGAACTGTGGGAATATGTGAGAATAATATTCCGTTGGAACCCATTATCTTTATCACCCCATCAAATACTTTAGACTGAAGTTGGTCGGATCTTCTTGGTGCTAGCGGCTTTGTTAGCTTGTCTTACTGGATCTAGTTCCGGAGCTCGCTGACGTTCACCTGTTTCTCTTTGTTTGCATTTCTGATTGTATGTACATGATGCCGTCTCGCGGTGACCGTGTATGGTCCTCCCCACTTTGGGGGCAGTTTGCATGGCCATGGTGCGTATTCGCCGATGTTTCGCCTCACACTATCATTTGCTACCTTCGCTACCCAACCTCTTGGCAGTGTTCCAAGTAAAAGCGTCTTCTCTGACGGCTGTTGAACACCATTTAACTCCACTAGAACCTCGAAGTCCTGCAAGAAAATCCATATGTTTACTTCTTCAAATACTGCAGCCTATGAGATTTTCATTTCCCAAAAGGCAGTGACACCAAATGTAACAGCAAAAGACAAGACACGGAAGCAAAGGTATATTTTCAAGTGATCAAACCGTTGTTTATATATACACACACTTTATATTATCTAACTAATCATTGAGTGTGTGATTTTGGTTTACATTAAACGATCTGAAGTAGAATGTTCAAATATACATTATAGTATTTTGTTGCTAATGCACTCACTATTGAACTGTGGGAATAGTGTTCATACAATGATTCTAACAGTGAGAATAATATCCCGTTAGAACCAGTTGTCTACATCACACCACCACAATATTTAAATATTGAAAATTCGGTTACTGTATCTTACACTAAGTTCACTAGATTTCTACACTAATTTCAGAGTAATGAATGCTTGTCTTGCCTTCCCGAGGGTATCCTGACTTTCACGTTTTCATCTGTGCTGTCTGTAGTTGAAAAAATGTCACTCAGGTGGGTGAAAGAGACAATTTTCTTTAAATTTCACTTACGGACACTGACTAGTGTTTATTGTTCCTCATTATTTCTGTCTTCTCAGTCTTCACAAAAAGTATACCCGCAATCATAATCATCATCATCATCATCAATAAGGAAATCATAACATTGTTTCCAGTCTAGACAAAGGGGCTAAATTGGTTCATTGTGCCTTCCTAGGCTATACATCTGCTTTTGACTCGGTCCCTAGGGACATCTTATTAAATAAATATTCCTGCAAGTCAAACAGAATGTTGGGCTGTTAACTGGTTACATTCTTATTTCTCAGAAAGAAAGCAGTACACCATGTAAAAAGGGAAATCTTCCACTTCGTTGCCTACTGAAGCTGGTGTCCCTCAGGGCGCTGTTCTTTCTCCTTTTCTTTTTCCTTTCTTCTTACATGACTTGCCTCAGTCTGATGAAATAAACTTTGTGAAGTAAGCTGATGATTTAACTGTTTCAATGGTTGTTAACTCCCAGCTAGATTGTACCAAAATAAATAGCTTTCTGTTGGGAGTCAGTAAATGGTCTGAGTCTAACGGTCTTAAACTGAATCCTTCTAAATGTCAAACTGTTAATTTCAGCTTAAGATGTAAACGACAGCTGAAAGAAGCCGTCGATTCTCATGACAGTTGTAAGATTGATGACAATGATATAGGAATTAAATCAGAAATTAAGTATCTTGGACTTATTCTCTCTTCTGATCTCTCCTGGTCTTTCCATGTCTCAGCGATCTCCAGTAAAATATTCCGCCTGACATTTTATTTACATTAAGAAGTTAAGGCACTCGGGTATAACTCAACCCCTCTTGCTCTTACAGTTCATAAACTCTTGCATCCTACCTATTCTTCTTTATTGTTCACCCCTGCTTATTCTTTCCTGGTTTGCTTAAAGAGGACTATGTCACAATTCGTAGAATGCTGAAGACTGTCAGTAGGATGAGTGGTGTCCCAGTGGCCTACATAGTTAACGTCGTTGTCGATAGGCACTTGACTTCGTGCAATAAATTTGCTAAAGAGATTTTGTCTGACTTGGAGCATCCACTTCACCCTCAGCTTTCACCTTGCATCTCCTCCTCAGGTAGAACAAGAAGTAACTTCAGAAAACTGAATGCTCGCACGTCTAAGTATCAAAATTCTATGATATCATACTTGGCACGTATTTTATGTCATGAAAATAGTGTCAGGCAAGAATTGACTAACCTTTTTTTCATCTAGTAAATAAACAATCTCCTCCATCCATCCATCCTTATATACCTTCAAGTTTTACTTTTATGATTTCTATTATATTTATGGTCCTGTTGATTCTTTGTTTTTACTCTCATAACTGCAAACACCAACTTATCTCTATGACTACTGTAATCTTTGTTTTTTCCCTCACCATATCATGTAAACAGAACATTATATTCAATATTTTTAATCATGCAAGGATTTGTATACCACATCGACAATACTGTGTGAAACAAGCCCACGGCAATTTCCACTTGTATCATTATTATTATTTCCATTTTATATGCTGCATGTTTTTTTTGACATTACCCGTATTGTAAATGTTGAACAATTTTCTGTGTGATTAATTTTATTTATAATTTGAGGAAATTAGATGCAAGATATTGTGATTAATGCTGAAAATTCCATTCTGTATCACAAGTACTGTTTTTGGAATAAAGTAAATCATTATTATTATTATTAAAAACATGGTTTGTCTTCAGAGAGGAAATATTTCATTTCCAAGCTGTACAGTCGTATTTATTTATCTCACGAAAGAAGGGAATGAATGCGGATTCTGCCCACCCATCCCCTTTTAAAAATTATGTCAATTATCCTTATTCTTATGATATTTATTTATATTGACTGAATGATTTCTAGTGTGAATTAATGGCTTTCTTTGACTGTGCCTCTAGAAAATGGAGTATCACCTCACTGAACAAAACTCTAAGTCCTATCTTCGCTAGTTCTTCTTCTGGCATCTATTTGGCTTTCTCCTGATATACATATATATGTAACGCCGTAGAATAATACCATGTCATCAATACACTATGAAATGAATTCATATAGTGGAGAGAATTTAAAGTTTATAAAACACAAAATAATCGAGCAAAGAATATTCTTTTCGATAAATTCCTCTTCCAGGCTCTATCTACAATTATATATATGTTTATATACACATAGAATATTTTAAAATAGTAGTTAATAACAATATTAGCGTTTTTTTAAATAATATCGATTTGTAAAGTATGATCAATGCAATTACAGTTCATTAAAGATGCTTAAATTATAATAGTAATAAAGATATAACAGCGAATAGAATATCAACTAAAATTAGGGAAATTCCACAAAAATTCTGGATTATTCAAACCTGGATGGCCAAGGTAATGATAATGACTGAACTAACTTCTTTCGGGTGCATAAATTAGGCTTATTAATATGAATCCCCACAGCCTCAGCAATATTTAGAAGTCGAACTCTTAAAGCGAAATTGAGATTCGTAGGTATGCGGTAAATGACCCTGAAAGCATGATTAACGTCAGTCTTGTGTTCTGTCTCCACAAGATGCGCCAGAATAGCGCTGCGAATAGATTTTGTTTGACCTTTGCTTAACCAACCACTGTGCAGGGTGATGTTCGGAAATTCGACGAGAAACACGCCTAATTGTACGGCCTATGTAACTGGCTCACTTCACAGGAGCAGTTAAATTGGTAGATACACATGGAAGAGGCGAAATTAGACAGTTTGTCTTTTATTCCCGAACGCAGAAGAGGAGTGGTTTTAAAGATACAGCGTAATTGAGCAGCATACCTACGAATCTCAATTTCGCTTTAAGAGTTCGACTACTAAATATTGCTGAGGCTGTGGGGATTCAAATTAATAAGCCTAATTTATGCACCCGAAAGAAGTTAGTTCAGTCATTATCATTACCTTGGCCATCCAGGTTTGAATAATCCAGAATTTTTGTGAAATTTCCCTAATTTTAGTTGATATTCTATTCGCTATTATATCTTTATTATTATTATAATTTAGGCATCTTTAATGAACTGTAATTCCATTGCGATCTTACTTTACAAATCGATATTATTTAAAAAACGCTAATATTGTTATTAACTACTATTTTAAAATATTCTGTGTATATAAACATGCATATATATAATTGTAGATAGAGCCTGGAAGAGGAATTTATCGAAAAGAATATTCTTTGCTCGATTATTTTGTGTTTTATAGATGTCTGAATGAATATTTTTGCAGTTTAAGAAATTCAAGAAAATCTGAAGCAGTCTAATTATTCTCTTCCAATTGACATAAGAATTAAAATTATACTTACCTGCCTGATGTAAACAAAAGTCCATTTAAACCACCGAAACATGATAATGAAACGCATACTGGTATTATCCATGAAAATTGACCATATATTCTATCAGCAAATGTCTAAAATATAAAAAAAACGAGAATACATCTAAATTTTAAAGTGAACTCAAATGTTATATTTTAGTTGACTTGCAGTGAAATCCAATCAGGATACACACATTTCGTCCTGTCCTGGACTCATTAGCTGGATGTACCTGGATTCTCTGGTGAGTAATGCTGTTCCCAACTGAGACTTGGACTCTGTGCTCATCATTTAAAATGCCAGAGCATTATCTACATCCAAGTGACAAGTCGTAAATACGCCGAAGTCAGCCTGTTTGATTCCACCGCTGGTCAACATTATCTAGACATATATTCGAGCCGTCCGCAATATGAATTAATTGCTATTCTTACCCGACGTTTATCGTTTCAAAAGATAAAGCGTCATCCACTAGGCCACTGGGACCCAAGTCGACAGACACCAAGCATTTCAACTTAACATAACCAATCAACGGGGAATGCAGACCACCCCAAAAACAGATAACAATTGGTATCCGTTGCACAAGAGGCGGCTTTCTTGACCCTAGTCGTCTAATGGAAAGTACTTTGGCGTTTGAAAGCATGGATCCAGTGTTTGGTTTTCAGTGGGAAAAATATCATTCACTAAGAATATAGGCAAATCCAGGTGACGAGCCTCAAATGGGACGAAGTGCGTATGCTTGCAGGATTTCACTGATAGCCATCATGCTAATCCTCAGACATTGTGAAAGCATCCGTATTAGGAGATAAAATGTCAACACAGAAAGGTTATTTTGGTCGAGAACATAATCAGTAAAGTGGTATTAAGCCAGGTAAAAAAGGTGGAAGGTTGGGCTAGTGTGAGACTAGCGATCCTGCCCCATGAAGAAAGCAATTGCTAAGAACTTTAAAGCTCATGCTTGAAGCCACTCTACGTTCCACTTGGAATGCAATGGAATGCGAAGAATGAACAGGAAATGCAAATTAGCCTAAAAAATAATAACTTACTACTTACTATTAGATTGTATATATATTTGTAAGTAGCATAGAATGTCTAAATATATTTCCAAACTCATTTTTTAAAAATATTTTAAACAGCCTTCATTTTCTTATCATTAAGTATTAGTCTGAACTGTCCTCACACTCATGTGTTCTGATAAATTGCTTGAAAACAAAGGGGGGGGGGTATATATGTTAGTTATATAAGCAGAGATCTAGTCATATACATATTACTATGCCTGCAAGGACTTTTAGTAATCCCATCTTATGATTGTTGTTCATATCAGACGAGGTTATCATTAGTATAAAAAAGATGAAAAAAAACTAACATCTTCCATGTTTCCATTTTCAAAAACTCTGTTGTTTTCCTAAATGTGATTTCGTCTTTTACATTTTTTTGTTATAACCCCTACAATGATTAAAAATCTCTGAATTTAACCAAAAGTCAGGGGACGGTGGGAAAGCCACTTTAATACAATGAATAAATAATCACATTTTGAACATTTTCCCCTCGTGGGAAAATTTATGGGTTTTCTTTTTTTCCTTATCACATTTTACACCATCAATAAAGCTTTTTTTTAAAAAAATCTTTATCAGATTAGGATTTGGAGGGAAAAAGTTCCTAACTTTTATAATTCTAAGGTGCATTTGAAACAGACATTATATATATATATATCGGCAAAGTTAAACTTTAGACACCAGTAACAACCAATCAGCAAACGACCTTGAACGGACCAATCACATGAAAGAGGCGTTTATGATAAGCGGAAACGTATATTTATAGAAAAATGCATGAAAAAAAAATGATAAAACGGTTACAATGGGTATTTTTCCCGAACATGAGAGAGAAACATTTCCCAATTCAGCATGGGACTGTCAATAGAGAAGTCGCACCACATTCTATACATATATTCATCTAAATGACTATAAATGAGATCCTTTTGAGATCCATTTATAGCCCTTATTCTGTTTTTCAATCGACCCTAAAATCCTTCAATGGAATTTGTATGAGTCCCTGTAACTTGGTCCACAAAATCACTGGAGTGGTTCACTCTGTGGTGAATTTATCCCGGGGATGACAATGAATCATAGCCTTTCCACTCGTCGGTATGTACAGTTGATCCCGGTTTCACAAGTCGCTTTAACTTGGCTTGTATATCGAAGAATCTTTTGAAATTCTCATTGTCATCTGGTTTCATTAGATCTAAAATGCTTAATTTCAGTTTGCATTTCCGCGCCTAGTATGGACGCATCTGTTGATGTATTTTTCTTGGACACTAGGCAGTAATTAATCTCATGTGTTCCATTCTTCGTCTGGTGTAGAATGCATTCTGTCAAGAGGTGGTTTCCTGGGATCTGATTGATTACAGGCTTGATCATGGGATGACATCAGTTAGAGAAGCATTGGAAAACCAGTGGGGCGTACTGGACAACTGTATCCCCCAAATTTGGAACTCTTCAGCACTATGCATCTAAGGGGTTCAAAAACACGAGTTACAAGGCGAGTTCGTAGACCATTCAACCGTTGGGGCCCTATCCAATGAGCAGTCCATGAATTTCAACTTCTATCAATTCATGACATAGCGTGACCACTAGGCAATTTTTTCGGCAAGTATCTATCCTGTCAGAAGTTAAAATTCATGAACTGGCCATTGGATCGTGTCCCAATGGCTTAATGGTCTACTAGATCGCTTACCTTGTAACTAGAAGGTTTTGGCTTCGAACCGTGGGGTGGGTGCGTACTCCCAGAGTGGAGTTCCAAACTAGGAGGAAACAGCTGTCCATTACTCCCTACAGGTTTTCCAGTGGTTCTCTAACCTATGTCAGTTCATAATGAAATCCTGGAACCAATATTTATATTAAAAGTCAGTCTGAATGTAGAATATTCTTTTCAGTAATTTCTCTTATTCAAGTCTTCACAATTATAAAATATAATATTTGCTGTCGTTACAATAATGGCCAGTTTGGCGGCGGATACATTCTTTACGTGGAATAACAGATTAGTTAAGGGGTGTCAAAATAAATAGTCGATTACAAAATATTGTGAAATGGGAGACATTGGTGGTGATTAGTCACGATAGATTTGTAGACTTGGGTCGACATTTGACAGTTATACAGTCAATATTATCATTTGAGAATTTAAAACAGACGTTGTTGGCAACAGACCACTGAGAATTGATAAAAGTAGCAACACCAACACCTCGGTTCTTCCTTGAACTACTTCGGTCTTGTCTGTACATATTGAAACCATTCAGTGAGATTAAATTGTCATCATATGAATCGTGTAGCCAAGTTTCTTGAAGCGTTATTACACCTGTATTGCGGTGAATATTTGAACATAATAGAGCATCCAAGTAATTAATCTTGTTCGATAATGATCTGCAGTTTATGCTCATAATCACAGGAACAGTCGTCTGATGCATTGGAGTACACTTTAAGGATCGTTGTCACCCACCATGATGCTTTTTCTTAAGGTTATTATAAACACGTAAATCATCAGGTTGAAAATATTTTAAATAATCGCGGGTAATACGATTTGGATACATAATTGAATAATTAAAACAAAATAAATCCAAGTAATCAGATGCAACATAAGTGACGGAAAAGTTTGGTAGCCTAAGGTTTAAGCAGGCCGCCATAGATGGGAATATTTCACACTATTAAATCAATATATATATATATATCAACCACTGGGCCACCAAAAATATTTTTCACCCCTCAAAATGCCTCATATTTACTGCATTTCAGAATGCATCAATCATCCAACTGAGTTCATGAATTGTAACCTACTTTCACGCACCATTTCCAAAATTTTTCAACCTAGTATTACAAAGGAAATGGAAAAAAACTTCAAGGAGTAGTAGAGCATGCTTCAAATGTAACAATACTGTCTGCAGCTTAAACAAGGGGGCTAAATTTGTTCGCTGCACCTTCCTAGATTACATATCTGCTTTCGACTCAGTACCTCAGTAGGGATATTTTGTTAAACAAGCTTGCTGAAACTCAAACTGACTGTTGGGTTGTCAAATGACTGCATTCTTATTTCTCAGGGAGAAAGCAGTACACTGTATATCAGGGGAAGTCGTCCACTTCATTGCTTACTGAGGCTAGTGTCCCTCAAGGTGCTGTTCTTTCTCTTTTTCTGTTTTCTTTCTTCTTGCATGACTTGCCCCTAATGAAATGAACTCTGTTAAGTATGTGGACGATCTGACTGTCTCAGTGCCTCTTAACTCCCAGTTAGATTGTACTAAGATGAACAGCTTTCTATAAGGAGTCAGTGAATGGTCCTCGTCTAATGGCCTCAAACTAAATCCTTCCAAATATCAAACTGTTAATTTCCGTTTCCGATGTAAACAAAAGTTAAATGAAGCCGTTAGTTCCTATGACCCTTGCAAAATTGATGATAGTGATATAGAAACCAAGTGTGAAGTTAAGTATCTTGGATTAATTCTTTCTTCTGACCTATCCTTGTCTTCCCATGTCTTGGCGATTTCTAAAAGAATATTTTGTCTGACGTTTTACATTAAGAAGTGAAGGCACTCAGGCATAACTCAACCACTCCTCTTACAGTTTGTCAACTCGTGCATCTTACTTATTCTTCTTTACTGTTCACCCCTGCTTATTCTATCCTGGATTGCTTAATAAAGACTATGTCATACTTCGTAGAACTCTAAAGACTGTCAGTAGGACGAGTGGTATCTCATTCGGCCATATCGTTGACATTGTCACTGATAGGCACTTGAGGTCATGCAACACATTTGCTAAAGGAATTTTGTCAGACTGTGAACATCCACCTTACCCACAACTTCAACCTTGTGTCTCCTCAGGTAAAATAAGAAGTAACTTCAGAAGACTTCATGCACGTACGTCTAAGTATAAAAATTCCACTATACCATATTTGACAGCGCGTACTTTATGTGATAAAAATAGTGTTAGGCGTGAATTGACTAACTGACCTTCTTTGCACTAATAAATAAACCATTTCCTCCACCATTACAACATCAACCTTTATTGTTATTGTATTTCTTATATTTATGATCCTCTCAATATTTTGTTTTTATTTGTTTATTTTTTCATAAGTGTGAATATAATTTAAGCTGTGTCATAACTGTTAATGTTGTATTTCCCTCACCATGCTGCTATATCCACAGAACATTAGATTCAATAATCTATAACATGCTAAAATTTCCAAACTGAATCGACAATACTGTTATTATTATAATGTTTAATACTCTCAATTCGTGCTTCGAATATTTTTGACTTTATATCGTAAACGTGGACAAATTCCTCTGGTTAATTTTGTTTTAATTTTCAATTTTATTTATATTTTAAGTAAATCAGATGCAATATTGTGACAAATGCTGAGAATTCCATTCTGTATTATAAGTACTGTTTTTGGAATAAAGTAGATTATTATTATTATGGCACTGGGAGTGAATACCTCACACTAGAATCAGCTGAAATTTCTCTACTCTGTTTAAAACAAACCCCGGACACCATAGAAGATGAACTGGACAACCTCAAGAGAATCCTCGTCGAGAATTGCTATCCAGAAAGATTTATTGCAAAATCTATGAATCCTAGACCAGAAAAGCCGCCCATGCTTAGCGTCAAGAAAAACCTACTCTACATGAACTTTCAATTCAATGGAGATTTATCTGCGGAAACACTAAAAAAAAAACGACTGTCGCGCTCACCTTAAGAAGACCTTCTTCTCAGCTGAACTACGACTAACCTTCTCCACAAAACCTATGATTTATGTGAACGTGAAGGATAAGCTACCGCTGCTGGCCTCATCAATGTGCATTTATCAGTTCACCTGCTCGTGTGGAGCCAGGTATGTCGGCCGTACTCAGTGCTCGCTTTCCAAACGTATCACCGAGCACTTACCAACATGGTTTTACAAAGGAGAAAATCGATGCCCCCGCAGTTCCATCTTAGAACATCTGATAGAATCCGGACACCAAGCTACACCGCAAACAAACTTCAAAGTCGTCTACAGAGTAAGAAGTAGTCTCCCTAAAGGTGTACGAATCAGACTTCTTCAAACTGCAGAAGCAATGGCGATTCACTTGCTAAGTCCTGAACTCTGCATACAGAAGAAGTTTGTTCAATCACTACACTTGCAATGGACGTAATCCATCTTATTAGCCGACAAGAAAATTCTACCTAATCTTTTCTTCTGTCTCTTCATTAGTATTATTTTGTCTTCTCAATTGTAACATTTTACATTTTCAACTTTCTTGTTCTTTACCCCCACCCGATTCAATTTCTACACCTCACTACCACTGTTACTGACTTGAACAACGCTCAGTTTCTAGTCATTTATGTTACGTCATCCAACTTATTTACTCAATTTCACTTCTACTTAATCTCTACCTGTAATTACCTCTGTTGCTATCCTGACCTAAGTTGTAACATTTTAGTCAATTATATTACGTCATCTAGCTTACTAACTCAATCTTACTTTAGTTGCTGTCTGATTAACTTTGTCTCTATACTACATCATTCTTGTATTAACTAATCAATTATCTAAACTTGACAAACCTCATGTACACACACACACACACAAATAATTATATATAAATGCGATTGTACAGCTATGTGAATGAATTCGCCGAAAAGAGTCTCTTCGCTGAATGTCTTCTCTTTTTCATAAAACAAACTTCTCAGAATCAAGCTATCATTATCATTATAAGTGAAAGGTGAAAGTTTTCGACAAAAAACAAAAAAAAGGGGACAAAACAAAAAGACAAAATTGATAAGTCGCTAAAAGTAGAACCTACCACAGCAACTGCATTCGACTGCATAATTTCAACAGGTAGAAGTACTGCAAAATATGCCATATTTGTTAAGACGTAAATAAACGTTACCATAGTAATACTAATATAGATAGACAAGGGTAAATTCCTGTAAAAATGTAAACAAAAGTCATATCAGTCATAGTTTAAAAGATTGAACAGTGAACAGCGAAGATTCGTATTTTTGATGTTTATGTTACCATAATAATTAGAGAATTATTATTATTATTATTAAAAACACTGATGTCGCTGTAAATTACATTGAATCAATCGTCAGTATCAACAGATTAAATTTGGAAAGCATCAGTAAGTGAGAGATAATCTGCATTAATACAAAACTGAACTGATCTAATAGTGTGGAATATTCTCGCATTATGAATTAAAAGTCAATCTGAACGAAGAATATTCTTTTCAATAATTTCTTCTCTTCAGGTACTTACAATTATAAAATATAAGATTTGTTGTCGCCAGTTTTGCAGTGGATACATTTTTTTATAAAACACAACATAATCGAGCAAAGAATATTCTTTTCGATAAATTCCTCTTCCAGGCTCTACATTTATATATATGTTTATACACAAAGAATATTTTAAAATAGTAGTTAATAACAATATAGCGTTTTTTTAAATAATATCGATTTGTAAAGTAAGATCGCAATGGAATTACAGTTCATTAAAGATGCCTAAATTATCATAGTAATAATAATAAAGATATAATAGCGAATAGAATATCAACTGAAATCAGGGAAATTTCACAAAAATTCTGGATTATTCAAACCTGGATGGCCAAGGTAATGATAATGACTGAACTAACTTCTTTCGGGTGCATAAATTAGGCTTATTAATTTGAATCCCAACAGCCTCAGCAATATTTAGAAGTCGAACTCTTAAAGCGAAATTGAGATTCGTAGGTATGCGGTAAATGACCCTGAAAGCATGATTAACGTCAATCTTGTGTTCTGTCTCCACAAGATGCGCCAGAATAGCGCTGCGAATAGATTTTGTTTGACCTTTGCTTAACCAACCACTGTGCAGGGTGATGTTCGGAAATTCGACGAGAAACACGCCTAATTGTACGGCCTATGTAACTGGCTCACTTCACAGGAGCAGTTAAATTGGTATATATACATGGAAGAGGCGAAATTAGGCAGCTTGTCTTTTATTCCCGAACACAGAAGAGGAGTGGTTTTATAGATACAGCGCAATTGAGCAGCAGGGAATGCTCCTTTTACCACATTTCTGAGGCGATGTGTTAGTATTTCACTTGTGTTGTCTCCTAGGAACTGCATCTGTAAGAACAAGGCTTTCTTTGGAACTGTTGGTAACTTGGACTGTTTTGGTTTTAGATTCATATTCTTATCAATAAACTTTTCGGGATAACCATTCTCACTTAGCAACCGTTTAATATTGTTAAGCTCCTCGTCAAGACATTCATCCGAGCAAATCTTTCTTGCTCTGTGGACCAAGCACTTTATTAGATTGCGTTTGTATTTCAAGGGCACAAAGCTGAAAAAATGTGTGTTCTGGCCCGTTGATGTAGGTTTTCTATAAACACTTCTTCTTATTGTGCCATTCTCTTTTCTGGTCATAAGGACGTCTAGAAATGAAATACTAGAGTCTTTTTCTTTCTCAATAGTAAAATTTATTGCAGGATGTACCTCATTAAATTTATCCAGGATGTTCTTCGCCTCCTTTTCGTTCTTCATAATCAAAAAAGTATCATCCATGTATCAACAATAAAATTCGAGTTCATTAATAACATCTTTCAAAGGCCCATTTTCTAGTTTCGCCAGGAAAATGTCGGCTAGAATGGGTCCTAGTGGCGACCCCATTGCCACACCGTAGAATAACAGATGAGTTATGTGGTGTCAAAATAAATAGTCGTATTTGTGTGACAAACGTCGTCTGGGCTGAAATCGATTGCCAAATATTGTGAAATGGGAGACGGTGGTGGTGATTAGTCATAATAGATTCGTCAATTGTTGTCTACAATTTCGGCTCACAGACGGCTCTCACGACAATCAAAAAGAACATTCTTTGTTGAGTAACCATTCTCTTGAAAAATTCTAATGTGCATTTTCAATCAGTTATTATCGAACAGTTGACGGTTTTAACAACACCTTTATTTAGCCTGACTGATAAGTGTTCACGAGGACAGAAAATCAGATTCTTAGAATAGTTAACAGACAATATATAATTGTGTCCACAGGGGATGGCTATCCTAGGTATATCATCTTTCAGTCTCAGCTTACTGACAATAGACCTTCTTTGAATCGATTTTCTCAACTTGTTGTTGGTTATTATTTCACCACTTGGTATATACCTATCACCTTTGGATTGTAGTCGTATATAAATGAAGAGAGAGAGGCTTCTTACTAACAGATACAGAAGGATTCTTTGCTTCTCTCTTGGCCGCCTGCTTAGTGTTGAATTTTTCATGGAATCTGTTTTCAATTAATGTGTCCTATGCAACATTAAGACCCTTATTTGATAAAAATCAACAATGAACATTCCATAGTTCTAAAACTTCTTTTGATACAATTACATTAAATATTATGGTCAGTTAATTTTGTTTGCCTGGAGTATATTTAGTTCAAAGCGACACCCATCTGCTAAAACAATCGAAACTACGGTTAGATTCTTGATTAACTAGTCTTGACTAGAAGGAATCTCTAAGATATTAAGAATACTAGGCAGATGTTTCGTCCTATTCCGGGATTCGTCAGTTGTGCGTACCCACGAACTTTGCGGTGAATCGAGTTCTGGACAAACAGGTTGCGAGCAGGTCACATAACTATTTTACTGCTAGGATATGACAGCTTAATAATCCTCAAGTAGATCATCAGTGACAGGTGTTAGTGTTCACAACTTTGGATTCTTTCACAGGTGTTCAGTAGTTTCCAATATTCAATGGTTCTTTCAAGTGAGATAATAATTTGTGATAAAAATTTACCACAAAATTTGGTTTTTCAAACACATAGTTAAACACCGTCGAAATTGGAGAAAACGAATCCAAGGTATGCTTGGAGAATTTATGCTATATAAACGTTCTGTGGATGATACACTTATTATTGGTAATAATATTAAATCTATTGAAAACTGTATTACTCTATTTAATCATATTCATCCAAATATCCGAGTGACTTCCGAATTCGAATCGGATAACAAACTCCGTTACCTGGATATCTCATTGACCAGGAGAGACCATAGAACGATTAAGCGGTCTACACTTCGTAAACAGACATCGAATGGACAATATCTTCATTTCACTAGTTTTATTCCTATCCAGTATAAACATTCCCTAGTGGAATGTTGGAATGGCCAGCAAAATATGTACGAGCGACACACTGTGTAATGGATGAGCTTCGACACACACATTCAGTTTTATTAGCTAATGGTTATCTAGAAAACTTTATCACTTGTCACAGAAAGGATAGACGATATCTATAAAAGACAACTTCTGTATCAATGAAAGCTATCTTTATTAACCTACCATTCAAGGGTGATCAAATTATGCAGTTGACAGTTAGCTCAGTGACTTCGGTCAGCCATCAAACGCACATTCTACGCCGCCATATCTCTTTCTCTCACATGCCGAACATTCTCGATCCCTGTACCTACGATAAAAGAACGAAATTCTCTGGACTCTACTTCAAACTCCATCTACAAGTTCACCTGCAGTTGCGGTGACCCCCAAATAGATAGAACCAATCGAATGTTCCAATGCCGTGGTCGAAAAGAACATGTTCCAAAATGGTTATTAAAACACAGAAAATCCCAATGCGATTAATCTGAACAGAAATCCAACATCATCCATTGCAAAGCACTTATTAATATGAAGTCACAAAATCAATATTAATGACTGTTTCACAATTATTTCACATAACTCTAATTCAAGGTTACTGAAGGTGATGGAAGCACTTTGGGTTAATCACATACAGTCTAAAATGTGTGTACAAAAAACAATAGACTTCAATCTTCACCTACCGTGGACTAATTGACCTATTTAAATGTGATGATTGGTCATTAGTATGTACTTTTGTTTTTTATATAACTGAGTAACAGTCATGAACTTTGTTTTACTTTATTATTGTTAACCCTGTTAGTTGTAAAGCAGTGGTAAAGAAGCTACGAAATGATGCCATCATCTCTCGAAATTTGTCTTCTAAATTGCCTTATTCAAATTTTAATTTTCTCAAAACACTGTTCTGTCTGAAATAATCAGCTTAAACGACTGATGAGAAAATTATAACATCTGAATTACAGGAAAAGACTTTGAACTGTGAAAATATTCTCAATCTTTGAAATGCTGAGGTTTATCTATCACAGTCTAAGGCATAATAAAACGACTGTCATACATCATTAGATGCTTCGGTCTAGACTTCCTCAAAACTGTTTTTCCACATCAATCAATGTATATGTTTATCTGCACAAGACAGTAATCTTAATAAGTAGTGATAAAGAACTATAATAAAAAAGAATACTCAGGAATGAATATCTTACATAGAGAATCAAAACATATAAATGGATTAAATTAGTGTGCGAAAAATTTCAAACTGAGCGCGAATATAATTTATCCATTGTACATTGATCAACGTGTGTGTGTGAACGCATGTAACAGTCTACTTTGTATCGCAGTCTGTGAGTGACGCTTATCGTTATTGAGTGATTGGAATACTTAAATCTGGACATAACTATTCTAATGTATATATATATATATATAAACAAGCTCACGAAAACTGGAAAGATCACAAAACAACACCAATGGACCAGTCCTACCCCCATTCTACGGCAGACCCAAAATACACAAGCCAAATTTCCCGTTACGACCAATTGTATCACTCCCAGAAACTCCAACATATAATTTATCCAAGGAATTATACACAAAACTGAAACACCTAACGAAATCTTGTGATCACTCCATCAACTCTGCTATCAAATTTCTAGAGAAAATCAGGGGCATCCAAATAGATGAACAAGAAATAATGATATCTTTCGACGTCACAGCATTATATGCCTTAATCGGACAAAAACTAGCAAAGGAGA